AATTCATGTTAATCACTTCATTCACATTTTGAATTACATTGTCAATAAAAAGAAAAAAAGAAAAATGGAATATTTGTTTTGTAAAATGAACATTTAAACAACTAATTCAAGATAGACATCAAGTTGATTTGATATTGCTTATATTAAATCAATCTTAAAATTATATAACAGCATCAACAAAGCATAGCAAATACCATCAAACAGCCTTGGCTGCCAATTTTACAAAATCCCAATCCATATACAAATATGAACAAAATCGCTCCACTACTTTTAGAGTTATAGTAAAAAACATAAAATAACTCATGTAAAATGGCAATATGAACAAAATCGCTCCACTACTTTTCCAAAGAAATCATGAAATAGCATTTTCAAAATGTGCACCATTTTGGGGGGGGGGAATATTTAGATTTTCAACTTAATCAATATCCTATATAATTTTTTGCACTTAAAATATATTAATATTTCAGTTTTATGTGTTGTACCTAAAATACTGTAAACCTGACACAGAACTGGTTGCCATTTTGAAACTGGTGGCCATTTTGAAAATCAACATTCAAGCAGAAATTAAGGGGGATATTCATATAAAATACAAATGATATTAGTCCATCCAACAGTATCTGAGTTATTGCTGGATGGATGTACAAATGTACGGACAGTTGGACGGACAGACATAGCCATGCATGTCCCCCCAAACTTTGTTCGATGGGATAATAAATACAAATCTAAAGTGAATGATTTACCAGTAGTAAGCATTTAAAAGCATCTTGATAATAACTGGTTGATAGTTAGTAAGGTAAGTTCATAAAAAATTGAGGCTTGAGTAAAATTAAAAAATTTCAGCATTTACTATTTGAGAAATATCTTAATTGCATTAACATATCATTATATTCAGCTTGGGTTATCTAAGAACTGTCCAAAACATCTGTAATTTATCAAGATGGTGAAAAGTGGATTTGTTGCCGGGTTGGTTCTACTTTGCTTGGTTGCTATAGTAAGTATAGTTCACAATTTATTTATTATAGTTCTACTTTTGGGTATTATTGTTTTGAAAAATAATTCATGTTAAATATGTATCACATGCATTTATTCGATCTAAAATTGTGCAAAATCTGGCTAAGCAACAGAATAAATCTTACAAAGTTGTTGATTTTCTTTCTCAGAGATATTTATTTTTATTTTTGACGTTTCGTAGGATGTCCATCCTACTTCTTCAGAAATAAAATTATATTTGAATCAAACTGAAATAATTAATTATAATTTAATTTCTGAAGAAGTAGGATGGACATCCTACGAAACGTCAAAAATAAAAATAAATATCTCTGAGAAAGAAAATCAACAACTTTGTACGTTACTACCAGAGAGATAAACATTCATAGAAAGAATAAATCTTGGTGTATGTTATCTGATATTGCTCAGATCCACCTTTATTCAGGTTCAGAAGTATGATACATGGGTGTAAAATGATAGATCACAATTGCAAAGATTGCTTATATATTTCAGAGTGTTGGGTCTTTGTTGGAAACCCTTCAGCGACATAAGAGGGCTGAAGAGGGCTGTGGAGTTCACCCATGTGGAAGAGGATCAGGTTGCCCTCAAGGTTGTGAATGTTGGGCAAGCAGTGCAGGTAGGTGCTAAATGTCAAAGAGGTCCATACATCGTTCTACTTCCCCCTTTCTTCAAAGTACAGCTATATTATACTCAAATTTTAAAGTAGATCACAATTATGGTATTGTTTTTTAAAATCATTAAATTTTTTTCAAATCTGATTTTAGATTTGAGATTTCCTCAATGACTTTCTCAATGTCAAAAAAGCTCAAAAAGGTCCTTTATCAACTTGCTTCAAATTGACTAATTCAGAATCATCTACAAGTTCTCAAAAGTTCAAATTTGACTTTAGATTTGAGATTTCACATTCAATGACCTTCTCAAAGCCAGAAAAAGAAAACTGGAAACAGAAAAGGTATTTTTTAACTTGCTTCAAATTGACCAAGTGTTGTGCAAAATCATCTATAATTTCTCAGAAGTTCCATTCTGACATTAGATTTGAGATTTGACCTTTGATGACCTTCTCAAGGTCATAAGAGTCAATAAGGTATTTTTAACTTGCTTTAAATTGACCAGATTTTCTTTCAAATCATCTACAAGTTTTCAGAAGCTCAAAATCTGACTTAAGTTGAACTCAATAAATACTGTATACAATGTCTGCAATCTATATTTCATTTGAGTATAATCATGGGCTGTCAACTAGAGCCCATGGTATAATAAAGGGCTTTGAATAAAATACCTCATACCAACCTACCCACGTACGTTGGAGATGCTACAATCTTTGAAAGGTTCAATTTTAAAGATCTTAGTTTATTAAATCTTAGTTTATGATGAATTATAGATGCATTTGTAACGACCTTTGATAGCAAGTTGCTACTACATCCCAGTTGGGTTCCATTCCAACTCGGGGCATCAAATTTAGCACACTTTCTTTCAATTTCTTCATCTGGCTTGTTTGACCTATGCTCACAGTCGTTAGTAAGTTATTCCCCTGGGGCGCCCTCGGGTCATTACACATTACAATGCACCCATATGCCTTTATTTATGGATCTGTCATCCGTCTTGTCATAAAATAAAGCCGGAATTGTAGAAATGTTAATAATTAGAGCTATTTTGAGATTTAGAAATCTTTAAAATTGAACCCTTCAATGACTGTATTATGTCCCACGTAGGTGGGTAGGTGGGTATGAGGTTTTTTATACAAAGCAATAATAAAGCTATACTTTTGGAGTCAAAATTGTAAGCAATATGTATGATTTACATGAAGAGTGCAAAATTCTGTAAATTCTCCCAAATAATAAAGGATATCAACTTTTATAGAAAATGAATAAATAGATATAAAACTTTTAATTATAATAGAATAAAGTATCAACATTTGTGATTTTTAGTAAAAATATATCATATACAGGGTGGGCCAAAAATACCCAAGTTTAAAGATTAATTTCATATAATATATGTATTACGTTGAATAATACCATGTATTATATATCATTTTAAACATAAATCAATCCCTAATAATATGACACCATCCGATTGAGAAACAGCTGTTTTCTTGTGGACAGTAAGGTTATTCACTCCAGATTTCCAAATTGCGTAAAATTTGAACTTTGGTACCTTCAAAAGAAGTACATTTATACAAGTTATAGGGCACATTTGACCAATAAACTTATATCTTTTTAATTAACTATCAATTGTGTATTACTCTTAAATAAATTCATAATAATTCAGTCAAGCATATTGAGTCTAGCTGTGAATATAAAAAGAAATTTCGCATTCTGGCCTCTAACTCCACAAGAAATAACAACTTTTCAATTGAATGGTGTCATATTGTTAGGAATTATTGTTTAAAATTATATATATAATATATGGCATCGTTTAAGATATATCATAAAAATCATCAATCTTAAAACTTGGGTATTGGATTTTTGGCCAACCCTGTATATATGACAATGAATAATACGAGCCAAAAATAATGTAAAATTGTATCATTTTTTATCAGTTTCTCACAACTGATTCTCTATTAAAGAAATATACTTTTTATTCCACTAATAATTATTGACCTGTCCATATTATAATTTTCATAAGTATACCAAACCCAAAAATGCGAGGAAATAGATGGCAAATGGATGTTTATTTATTACAAATAGAGTCGATTTTTATCCATACTGATAAATAAAGGATCAAAAATTTTTGATAAAATTCAAAGATGCCAAATTAGTGTGTCTCAGCCAATCAGCTTAGAGTATCTCAGTGCATCAATTCAAGGCATCGATCAACTGAACAGAAATGATATTTACCAGTGCATTATGATTTTATAAAATATGGAGCCCTGCGTACGGAGGATGTGAATTTATTGTTTTTTTAATGTACATTATAGGATTGAAATATTGTCAGCCAAGTAAGGAAAACAATCAAGCAACAGATGAACCAGCAACAGATGAACCAGCAACAGATGAACCAGCACCAGTCGAACCAGCACCATGAATTCATAAATATTCATTGTTCATGATTAATATGTAATAATCTAGTAAATTATTTAATAAAATGGAAACACTACAAAAAATGCTTGTTTCTGGATATTAGTGGATATATACACAGAGATTAACCTCAAAATGTGAAAGTAGACATTTCATAATTCCTCCTCGAAAGTTGCTCAGCCAGAATTTAGAAATAAGCAAGGTGTTTAAATATATGAGACAAAAAATGAGTTAAAAGCAATACTAATAAAAATATATAATAAACATATACATATATAATACAGTGAGTAAGTATTATAGAAGACCTCTCTCTAGTGGACACCCTTCCTACGCACCCTTCCTACTCTACTCAGTACTGACTACTGTATAAATTACCAACTCTAGTGAACACAAATTACCAACACTGATCAGCAAAAAAATGTTCAATATACACAGGTTTTGCCTCATGTCTACAACTGTGTCAATCCTCCCTTTAAATATATACTCCCCAAATCATATGATTTCTGATTCATAGTGCATTGATGTTCTACTTTATCCAATGAATGAATAAAATGAGTGATTTGTGTTTTGAAGACCATGGTGGTGACTTTGCAAATTAATGTTGGCCATGCTCTATCTTAAAAAAATATTTCTAACAAGTGACTACAACAGTTTTTTGGTATTAAGAATTGTAACAATCATTTTTTATTCTTCAACATGGATCCTAATAACTTCAGTATGAATGAAATGTTATATGGTCTTGTGGCTTTGGATTATATTAAGGGTCCCTGAAGTGGGAAGGGGATGTCAGACATTGTAGCTTGCATTGGATCATAGTTTGGGATATTGTTGGTTTGTTTTGCTCCCTCTTTTAATTTTTTGTGTGTTGTAATACTTGTTAATCATTCCCTTTTACCAATTATGCTTTAATTTGTCAAAACAAAAAGAGTAAGTTCAGAAAATATCACCCATTAGATATTGTTTAAGAATATAACATACCCATTAAAGATCCTTCGTCCAAAGCTTTTTGTTGCTCAATTGATGTGTAGCTCAGCTCAGAATAATAAACATTAATCGTCAGAAAGTTGTTCCTGAAACAAAAAGCATGCATATACATTAGTGATTTTTTGGGTTCATTTTGATATAATACAATAAACCAGGTGTACCCCTCTATACTTTGAGTTTCTTGTAAAGTTGAGAAGCAATTACTCATTTTACTTTGGCAATTACAGTAAAACCTGTCTAATCCGAACACCCATGGGACCAGCCAAAAGCGTTCAAATTGGCAGGTGTTCAAATTTCGAGGATATTGTTGGTTGGGGGGGGGGGGGATTTTCATTGTTCAGTCCACTATATTGAACACTTAATACTTAAAACAATACATGTTGTTGATGAGTTTATTCTACAATAGGCCTATAGCCTACATGTATATGGTATGTTTTATTTACATTTTGAACAATTTCATTATTTTTGGAAAAACTTTGTAATACACCGAATAAGTATATGATAGTCTTGTACGAAATCTTATGCTTATTAAATGACTTATCTCATATTATGATTACATAGCACTGCTTTACTTTAGCTTTAAAAAGTCGTTCATTGTTGTTTGTTTCTTGGCACTTTTAGCATTAGCAATATTTGAGTAGATACCCTCTTCAATTAAAAATAATTTTTCATGAGTGCTCATTCGAGATGATGCATAATCTTTCAAAATATCAAGGGCATTCAGTTTGTCAGATGTGCCTTTTTAGGAGGCATTTTAGTGATAGGATATTACGAAGCTGAATTTTTTCTCTTTCTCATGATATAATCTTGTCTGCAAATGTGTCTGTGTTGTCTCTGTGATTATAAAACATTTACTGATTGAATCCTAGCTATCATAACAGACCCATGGGATATAAAACAGTTAAGACTTGTTCATAATCCAAATCAAAAACATCCAGTTAATTTAAAATAAGGATAAACCAATTATCTTCCAGATTCTCACCTTTCTCTTAATCCAAATCAAAAACATCCAGGTAATTTCTAATAATGATAAAACAATTATAATCTTGTCTGCAAATGTGTCTGTGTTGTCTCTGTGATTATAAAACATTTACTGATTGAATCCTAGCTATCATAACAGACCCATGGGATATAAAACAGTTAAGACTTGTTCATAATCCTAATAAAAAACATCCAGTTAATTTAAAATAAGGATAAACCAATTATCTTCCAGATTCTCACCTTTCTCTTAATCCAAATCAAAAACATCCAGGTAATTTCTAATAATGATAAAACAATTATAATCTTGTCTGCAAATGTGTCTGTGTTGTCTCTGTGATTATAAAACATTTACTGATTGAATCCTAGCTATCATAACAGACCCATGGGATATAAAACAGTTAAGACTTGTTCATAATCCAAATAAAAAACATCCAGTTAATTTAAAATAAGGATAAACCAATTATCTTCTTGGGGGGCCCTTCTTGATTCACACCTTTCTCTTAATCCAAACATAAAACATTCAGTTCTTTTCTAATAGGATAAACCAATTAACTCCCGTATTCACACCTTTCCTGTTGTTTTCCTCAATTAAGGATGTCATTGAGACTTAAATAAGTTAATTAGGACAATATTGGTTCTTTGATTACATTGCATATGTAAAGATAATAAGAACTATAACATTGACTCAATATGTGGCTATTATTGAAATGTCCAGACATTTGATTTCTGATAAAATGTTCAGATTAGACAGGTCACTTTTTCAAATCAGGTTGTTCACTGTTCAGATTAGGAGGTTTTCAGATTTCAAGGTTTTTTTAACATGGGAGTCAATGGGAGGAAAAAATGGGACCGAAAGAAAGTGTTCAAATTGGAAGGTGTTCGGATTAGCCAGGTGTTCAGATATACAGGTTTTACTGTACCTGTAACATCTGTCTGTATAGATTACATTTTACCATATAAGGTTAAAAGTTACAACCAGGACACAAAAGCAAACCCCAATATTCCAAATTTTCTAACATTCAACAGTATCAATTGTCCCTGTCTCCCCTCATTTGGGAACTGATCCTAGTAAACATAATTAAAAAACTATGATCTACTTTAAATTAGCTACCATGCCCACTTTTGACTCAGGAAAACTGATTCCTTGACTTGACGATCCCAGGATATTTCTGCAAATAGCTAATTCTAACTTACTCAATAAAGGTTTTATCAATTTGTCTTTTTGTTTGGTATTCTGTGAGAAGCCCTTCCACATCTGCCAATGCAGCATTCACTGCTGTGATCTTAGAGATGAACAAACTCTCGAAAGCATCGACAACTGTTAACTGTTGCTGGAAATAGTTATCTATGACTGCATCCATGACCGTGCGAAAGTTTTCCTTAACGTATGAGATACGTTCAAGTGGGATGTCACTCATGGAAATGGGATCAAATCTCAAGGAATACTCCCTCTGGTTAAAGTAAAGATATGGTTGAAGAAAAATACTTAATTCACTATAAGCAAATGCCTCTGTTGATGGACTGAGGTAATTCTGTATTTCTAGCATAAAGTCTATAATCTTAGTATATTCAGTTTTCATATCCAGTTTCAGGTCATATACAAGATTCTTTGTTGCTAAAACACTATCATAGAGAACAACACCTTTTATCACATCAAGTTCAGTTTTTAGTGGGTCAATAATATCATCCAGTAGATCAATAGTATCTAACAGTGTTTCTTCATCATTGAAATACTTTTGTATATTTTCCTCAGCTTGCGTAGTGAAGACATCGATCTTGACATCGATTTTTCTATAGTCGGGCATCATCTCTTTGTATTTGTTAACAATGGTGTCCACATTACCAGAGGTATTAAATGTGCCAATACTGTTGGCAGTATCTATGAAATCTTGATTACAAGATAGCAATTTGTCCTTTTCAGTTCTATACTCTGCCACAATACCAGCCATATCAGTTGGATTCTGCTCAAACTCAGACAACTGCAAGAGAAGGTATCTCACTGATCCATAAGATTCGCTGCATCCAGTTTGTATACCAGTTTGACTTACATGAGTGGCATAGTTTACCAACATATTATCAGTATACTGGACAATATCATTAAAAGCTACATTTGATATATTAAGGATAGTAGCATAGATATGTCCATTTACAGCATCTAAATAGCCTTTGACATCCTCAAGGGAATACCCACTGTTACTATCAGGGGTAAACAAAGATATATCTACTTGTGACTTTCTAACTATTGCGGCATCACTCGCAATAAAATCTTCAAATGTGCTACCAATATTAAGGGTTTTATTGAATATTGATTCGTGAATAATCCAATCATCAGCGAATTCCCGAAATGCAGTTATGCTTGCAGATAACGTAGACAACTTGGAGTAGATGCTGTTATACATATACTTATTAGTCTTGGCTTGTACATTAATAGCTGTATCGTATATGTCCTGTAGATTACGCCCTGTATCGCCTGTATTGGAGAGCCAATCACTGACGCTTAACTCAGACATCTTCCCAAAAGACATTATGGGTTCGTAAGATTTTTTCGTACACTGTGGCATACATTTGCTTGCGCACTGTTGATACGACCACTGCTGTTGTAAGTCTCCAAGAGATCCAACTAAACATGACAGATACGTCCCGATATCACAAACCTCTGGCAACCCCAGTGTATTTTCCGGCATATAGGGGGCTCTGCATTGACACATATGGTCAGCATAGTCTGTCAAACATTCCATCTGACACTTAAATTGCGTATAAGTGTTTTCCGTGAAGTTGTAAGTTAGAGGAAGATCTCCGCATTTACCCCAGGGTGGCTCCAAATTTGTAAACTGTAATAAAACATAATTTCTCTCATATTTAATTGCATTGGCTAAAATTATATATTGAGTGTACATATTCAGCCATGTACATATTCTCACTTATATTTATGTATATTAAATATATACATCATAATACCTTTTTGAAAATATGAAAGAAAAATATGCTAAGGTTTAATAATAGAAATCTTACATAGGTTGCCTTAACATTGACGAAAGAGCGTTGTCCAGGGGGGACTGCAAAGCCTAGATCCTGTACTTTGGGGACTTCATTAGGGTCATGTAACAGCATCTAAAACATCACATTTATTTCAATATACATGGGGAACAAAGGACACTGTAGAGAGGTTACTTTACATGTTTTAAAAAGAACCTGTATGTGAGAATGTAATATGACAACCCTCATGGATTATTGTCCCGCTTTCAATTCACTCCCTCAGGGACCTAATTAAAAATATTTTTCCGAAAATCAATACTCAATCCGCCAAGTAAACAGTACAAATGGGAGAACTAATCCACAAAGGACAATAATTCATGTGTACATGTCCACCATTTTAAAAAAAATGTGTATCTTAACCTCCCTATTGTGTCTTAGGGCATCCTCAGAGGAAGCTGCATTGGCTGATGGTGCTTACGAGGCTCGAAAGAATGAAGTACTACATGCTCTGGTGAAGGAGGTGAAGAAGCTAGTCTCCAAGAGCAAGCTATGATAAAAAGGACTCTTTTTAGATGCAGACATCACGCACCCCATTTGGAAAAATTTTGGGGATTCCCCTGCAATGTCTGTTAAATTTTAAGCATATTCACTCTACTAAACCTAACCCCTAGAAATGCATAGGATATTCTGTTTGTCTACTTGTATTGTTAAGTATATTTTCGAAAGTATCTTAGTATTAACATTTAACAGTCATCCAATAAACCATTCATAAGCAGCAGACACATAAAAACAAATAACATAATCATTACTGATAAGCCGGATGATGCACCTGCAAATAGAGAAAATCATTGTCTACCTTAATTATTCCCATGCCATATTTCCACACCTTTGTTCACTTGGGCCCCATCCTGAATGCAGTAAACATAGAGCAAGTGAACATGATATTTCTATACATTTCATGCCAAACCTGTAACATTCTATGCCACATTGTTCTAATATTCTATGCCATATCACCCTAACATTGTATGCCATATCACTCTACAGGGGCGTAGCCAAGGGGGTGTGTGTATGTATGTATGTATTATTTATTTGCGTCTAAAATAAGACAGTTACAATTTGATTTTTTGTGTTTGCATCACAGGGAGCGAAGCAAGCCCCAAATCTTTTTTTAATAGACATTGTATATGGTGTATTCTAAGCAATTCAAACAATACTTTGTTAATTTATTTCAATATATTTTACAAAATAACTTTTTTCTCTTTTGTGGGGGTGGGGGGATGGAGGGGGGGATGTGATCACACCCCTGGCTACATCCATGCTCTAATATCACTTAATACTCTCGAACCATCGAATATTTTAGCATTTCTATGCAACTTTGCATTTCATGCCTATACTATTCATGTGAATTTCACGTCTACTTATTTGACTCATTACTTGTTCCAATGTTATAGATGTTTGAACATACCCGTTTTAGTGACGGTGGAAATTGAGGTATTGAATGTGTAGCACTGCCCATAATCTGTATGCGTCAATACAAAACTTTCACTACTGCATTCACCAACATCCCAAGAACAACTAAAAAATGAAAATTCAAATTAGATTATACAAAATTTTATATTATATTGTATAACATTTAAATGAAGAAAATTTTATTAAGAACAATTTAGTTGGCAGCATAAAAAAAGAATTAGTCCAGAACAAACAAATTGCCAGCACTACATGTAGTTCTAAGAACTAGAGCTAACTAGTTCAATATGGTGATTCTCCTTTAATAAATTTTTTATCTCCTCAAAGGTTTCATTTTTTGTTAATTTTTTCGATGGCAACGATGCATGTAATATCACTTTCCTAAATACAGTGTCATGTTCACATCTATGCCAAGGAGGATTTGCTCGCAGGGATGCCAATTGATATTCTTTCCATATATAGGTATCACATAGTCACGTCATAAATACAAAATTCAAAATCAAAAATATCCACCATTCCATTCTCCTTGCAGCTGGACAAATATACAAGCACAAATAGCAACATCGCATCTCGTTGGAGATTGAAGAATAACATGTTGGAACCCTGGCTTTCAATCCTCCTTGCATCTATGTTTATGGTAAAAAGGTATATACAATTAAAGATCAAGCCCTACCCTGAAATACTCATACCTACCTAAATATCAGATCATTGGCATCATGGGCTTTGGTGAGGAGGAAGTCTGACATATAGTCATCGGATGATGCTGTATAAGAAGAATGATAAAATGTATTAAACAAAAACATTGAATTTGGAGAACTTTTTTGTTGACCTACTTTTTGGACACTGGTTTCTCAAAATCGGTTCAAGATAACAAAAAACTATTTTGTAGCGTTCTTCTACTTTTTTTATAAGGGACATAATAAAAAAAATATTGAAGGATGACCGAGAAAATTAAGAAGTAAATTAAAAAGTAAAAATACATGATTTGACTTAGTCCTTGACGTTTGACCTAGATAAAAATTGACCTAATTTCCCATCATCCCAAACACATTTCCTAGTTGACCTCTGTAGGTGAAACACCTCCATAAGTGGAACCCTTTTTAAAGTTACTGAAATGTAAAATGAACCTCTATAAGAGGAACATTATTTTGAGGTTCATCCCACTGAGACAGGTTTAATTGTATTTTCTTACGTTTGCAAACTTTATCAGCTTCGGAGAGTACATAGCCATCCTTGCACTGGTCGTCACAGCGCCACCACCCTGCCACATTACAGCTACCATTACAGTTCCTGTCACACTCTTACAATAGAAAATAATCAGATATCCATCAGTCCGTCCTTGACGTACACCCCCTATATAATTTGGCAACTAAGGTTCCATTGGATAGAATCTTTTGAAGAGCGTCTTCTATTACGTTTGGATCTTAATTTTCTTTTTCAGTTCCACAAAATGTTGGAAATTTATGACATGTTACTTGGTGATTTTGTAAACAACAAAAAATGATTTAATGCATTAACTGGTTTCACATTTTTCCCCTCTATTTTCCTTTCAAAATATAACAATCATGATATTAAATTAAATTTCTTATATTTACCTTTCACCTCTAGTTTCTCTATTTCTGGTAGATAATTGGACTTCATAGTTGGGGAGGTATGCAGGTAAAGAAACCTCTTCATAGAGTCGTCCAAACTGCAAAAACCTAGAAAATAAAAATACATTTTAAGAATTCACGTTCTCTCTTTGCTATCTCCAGTTTATTTGATATCACATTGCCACATTTATTGCACATAATATTGTCTCCATGGTAAAATAAATCGTTTAGTTCTTAGGTATTATCAGACATATAAAATACATTTGATTTCATGAATATAATGTATTTGTGATATTCTTCAAAAAATGACTTAAATCCTTAAATCCAATGCCATTAGGTTGATACCGCTATATTGTGACAATCATGTGACAACATCTAGCCAATCATATCAGTCAAATAGTGCCATGTGACCATATCTAGCCAATCAAATCAGTCAAATAGTGCCATGTGACCATATCTAGCCAATCAAATCAGAGTGATCACATGATAGACTCACCTGTGTCTGTTTCCCCACTGAGCTTTAATGCAACACACAAGCTTTCCCATGTGGGAACCTTGATAACTTTGGCTGCAATATTCAATTTCAGTTTGTTAACAATCATGCGGTTAAGTGAAACACATGTGGTATAATAAGTACACTTTGCCCTTTTTTTAAAACTCTTTGAAATGATTAAATGGTGTTCTCTTTGAGAAAATGTTAACATAGGTTTTATCAACTTTACAAAAGTGTTTTTTCTTGCTGTTTCATATAAGATACAAAAAGCATATTTCAATTTCAATTTATTAAATATATGTACATACAAACAATACAAAATTGATGAAGGGAGTGAGACACCACTGAAAGGTGTATGGTGCCCCCTATAACAATAAAAAATTTATAGGAATTAGCAATTAAAGATGACAAATAGGTAGGTATACCAAAGGAAAAAATCCTAGGAACTATTATATCAAGTAATAAAGGATATGTAAAATATTAAAAACCATTAACTCACATTCGTCGAAGATGACTTTATAAACATGATATGTCGATGTACTTCCCAAGCCGCTGTCATTAGCACATAGTGCAGAATCAATTGGAGTAGCAACTTGTGACTGAAACAAATAATCAATTTGCCTCTTGAATTGTAAAGGTATATTGGAACTAATGAGAGAAAAGAAAAAGAAGGGGTCGGTGGGATCTTTTCTTTGAAATTTCATTGCATCTTAGCATTGACATTATAGTCTTAGACTAATCTTTGATTCCAACGAGATAGCATAGTGTAAAGGATTCTGTACAATAAAGTGTTTCAGAGTCATACCTACTATATATACCTACATGCAACATAATATAAGTGCTTTATTTTAAATGTAGTCTAGATGTCATTTTAAGAATTTCTGTTAAACCGCAACATATACCCACTAGGGTGTCTAGCGGCTTGGTTTTATCATGTATATTATATAAGAATTATGAAATAAATAAATTGAATTGAAAAAAAAAGAATCAAAGTTTTTTGAATAATTGTTGAATTACCTGATTGTATGCTGTAAGTCCCCCAGCACATTTTCCACCACCATAGAGAGCAAAAATTTCAAATCCATTGCGTTTAGATGCCAGATAGCAAGCATATATGGGGAAATCCCTCTCCCAAGTTGCAACAGCTAAATCAGGGTCGGGAAAATTTTCTAGACTAAAAAATGTTGGTGCGGAGGAATCGTATGAATAGCAGTAGTTCGTCAACTCTGTGTAGTGATACGCTGAAAAATAAAATATCAAAACATAGTTATAGGAAAAGTTAATGCCTATTTATTTGTAGGTAGCATCAGACATAACAATTCACCAATGGACTAAATGAATGCTATGATGTACTTCTACTTGGCCCTACTTATTTTGGCAGATTTGGTGTTTTGAACATTTGGTGCCTACTTAATTTGGCGAATTTGCAATATTACAATGTACTAACGGTACTTATTTACATGGTACTAAAATTACCAGGGAATTTGGTGAATACTTAATTTTGCAAATTTAAAATGGCTGCAGAAGTTAATCATTCATGAGGGGTCCAGAGTTTTGATGCAAGACTAGAATGTCTTGAGTTTTAAATCATCACAACTTTTCAATAGATACTCACCACAAGTTTCAATGTCACAATCATCCTTTTCGTGCAGTAAGTCAGTCGTGTAGCACCATGGTTTGGTGGAACCATCAGGGTTCCTGCAATAGTTAGATTCAAAGTATCCTGAGGGGTAATTCATCTGTGATGGCTGGGAACTGTACAAACCTTGATGTGGAGAGTTGAGGTTCCATGACTGGCATGTATAACCATCCTCAGTTCTTGCCATGTCACCCGTGTATTCGGCGCCATCTGGTGATTCGAGGTATTTATTGCAATCTAAAAAATACATATATAAAAAACATTGATAATATCAGGGGTGTAGCATATTTGGTGAGGCAAATGCAAATTGCTGAGGTAAATTTAGAACCTCATTTCAACAGTTTGTTAAAAAAATCAAAAATGTGAAAAATATATATGTCTGTAAACTTTTGGTGAGCCATGTATATTAAAGCATACATTTTTTGTTAAATCACAACTTAACAACATTTTACTCACCGCAACTTCCCTCTTCTAACTGTGTCTCATCAATCATTACAAAGTTTAAAGAAAAGGAACTACTAAATTCAAACTTCAGTTTAAACTCATTCATATCTGATAACTCAAATTTCGCTTCAGTCCAAAGCGTCGTATTTGATAATGAGTTGGTAATGTCCAGCACTAGTTTAGTATGTGTTCTTGTCTGCGTGGATACATAAAGAGTTCCCTGGTAGAGCTTGTAATGGATGGTGATACACATAACACCATAGGTAGGATAATGTAGTGGAGACTCAAGGAAGTTATTTTCGGCAGTTCCAGTACTGACTACATTCCCCATAATCATATGCCCTAAGGGTAGAGAAATGTACATATACAATACATACAAGAAGTAGACAAGTTGGAGACTTTTGTATTGTTTTGTGAATAAGTTGGTTTGGAAATAAAAGTTGGTAATTTGGTCAAACAAAACAATACACTCTTTGTCTGGAAATATCTCGAGAGAGCAGAGATGTAATTCTTGTTTCGATCATGTAAATAGGACATGTAGTCCCAATATCTAATGAGGCCCCATAAATGTATATACAAGTTATGTACTGGGAGGTTTTGGATATGGGGTTTATCCAGAGGGATATATGCATATCTACCTGAGGGACCATAGGGACCGAAGGCAGATGTGCCTATCTCAAGAGGGATAAACCCCATATACCGACCGTACATAACTGCTTTATCCTGTATCCAGTGGAGTTTTCTAAAAAAAAATTTAATCTCGAAATTTTCTAAGAATGTAATTTGACTCAAGCAATATTAAATACATATACTGTATTTATATATTATTTACCTGGCTTATAATGAGCTGCATATTCGAATGACACAACATATTTGTTGATCTCCTCAAGAGTCACAGTGCCTCTGGTTAACACGATAACAACTGCATTTGTAGTAGAGAGTACTGTTTCTCTGTAATTGTAGAGGGCTTCGGAAGTGCTTTCATCGCACATTTGTGTTAGGATTACACCCATTGCGTCATTAATTTGAATATTGTCTCCATTTGTGCAGTCCAAATCATAAGGACTAGCTATTCTTATATCCACTTGTATGACCTAAGAACATTTTTTAAGAGTTTAAAAGTGCCTGGGTTATTTGGATCATGTATGCTAAAATTTCTGACCTTTTTTGGATCATGTATGCTCAGATTTCTTACCTTATTTGGATAATGTATGCTAAGATTTCTGACTTTATTTGGATCAGGTATGCTAAGATGTGTGACCTTATTTGAATAAGGTATGTTAAGATTTCTGACCTTATTTGGATCATGAATGCTAAAATTTCTGACCTTATTTGGATCATGTATGTTAAAATTTCTGACGTTATTTGGTTAAAGTATACTGGGATTCCTGACCTTATTTGGATCATGAATGGTAAATTCCTGACCTTATTTGGATCATGCATGCTAAGATGTCTGACCTTATTTGGATCATGAATGGTAAAATTCCTGACCTTATTTGGATCATGCATGCTAAGATTTCTGACCTTATTTGGCTCATGAATGGTAAAATTTCTGACCTTACTTGGATCATGTATGCTAAGATGTTTGACCTTATTTGGATCATGAATGGTAAAATTTCTTACCTTATTTGGATCACTTGTGTTAATGCTCCATGCAAATGTTCCTGTCTGGGCAAGGGGCATAACAATTCCCCCATGAACAACATCAATGTGAAGAGGATTCTCAACAGTCCCATATTCTGTAATGTCCAGTGGGTTAAATGGGTCTAAAGGATCTGAAATTGGAAGGTAATGAAATTAAACAATCTCATTTGTAACAAGGTATTAACATGCAAAATGTCACCACCTGCCATTTGGTACATATGCCAACTGCCAAACACCAGTCACCAACCACTGAACACTGTCCACAAAAAAAGTTGGAGACTATAACAATATACCTTTTAATACACTAATACAGTTGGAAAGACACCATGTAGAAGCAGAGGTGAGAAGCTCCCATAATCACTTACTATTTGTGCTACTCATATCATGTTATTATGACATGAAAGATCATGAGCACATATTTTCTAAGAACTGTGCATGCAACAAAGTAAAATTTGCAATTGTGGAAATGGTAATTCTTATGTTAAACTTTGTGAGAATATTTAGAAAACACAACAGTGAACATTCTGAGATCAATTTCAATGGCAAATGATTCCAGTTTATAAAATTGGTCTTTGAAGCTGACAGTGGCATCTCTCAGATTTGAGAAATCTCCTCTTCTGTGATGCAGAAGCAAGTACATATACTGCAATTATTTGAATTCTTCTTACTTGTTATTCTGAAATCTAAGTTTTTGTTTGTTTTATGAGAGAAACCAATCTTATACTTTGTAACAAAAAAAACAGAATTAGACTATGGATCAGTTGAGGTTTTTCTTGATTATAGTATCTATCTTTAATTTAAAGATCTAATAGCAAAGGTTTTGCAAAAATAAATCAATGCAGTGTAAAACAAATGTATGTATAATGAAGAAATAAATATTTAATGAAAAAAATAGATATGTGTTTGTAATATTGGTATTAACTTAAGATTAAAAAGTGTCACTATCTCTTTCATTTTTCAACAAATATAGGCTCACGTGACATATGACGCGGGGCAGTCAATTTTGATCTATCGTAGACCATATCAGTATCAAACTGCCGATATTTCAACCTCGTCTTGCGAGGCCATCTTTATTTGAAACATCTTGAATTTGGTGTCAAAATGAAGCTGGTCACGCCCACTTTCAGAGTTATCAATGAATCATTTACTACGACTACTATATTCATTTAGGAGGCGTGTAAAGTTAACCAATCAGAAAGACAATTGCTCCATATATGACAGTTCATTAACATATTCAGTGTTTACTATTGTTTTTCGCATCATGACAACACGAGTAGTAACCAATCAAAATGCCGTATTTTATCACGTGAGTTCAGAGTGACATGCACGACATGTAAGTTTAGTCTGAGCTGATCGCGATGTTGAACAATTTCTTCTCGGAATTTGTCCAGAGAAATCAGCGATTCTAAATTAAGGTAGGATCTCCCATTTCTTCCTGTACAAGTTTTAACTTATCTCTATCGAATCCTAAAGTTTTGGATGAAGATATGAAGCATACGTTTAAAAACGAAGCGATTAATTTGACGATCTGATTTTGCAATTTGCAATGGCCAATTTACTGCAAGTCTGCGTGTATTTGACAAGAGATACACTGGTGATCCACTCGATTACGCTGGTTACCAAAACGAATCGTTTTGGTAACAAAATGTCGGAACGTCGAAGGTACGATTTTTCTTTTTTCCTTATATCATGCGTTTTAGGCAGAATTCCCACGATGTTTTTAACACAAACGTGTATCAGTATCATATGCTTAAGCAAATGTACATATTTGCGAACAAATAGTTCAGAAGACAACAGCATCGTCGATTTAATTACTCACTTAAGTTACATAAACGGTTTTTCGAAAAACGGTTAGATCTGCACTTTTAACCAAAACCGTTTATGTAACTTAAGTGACGAATTAAATCGACGATTCTGTTGTCTTCTGAGCTATTTTTTCGCAAACATGTACATTTTCTATAACATATGATACTGATATACGTTTGTGAGAAAAAAAGTCGTGGGGATTCTGCCTACAACGCGTGATATAAGGAAAAAAGAAAAATCGTACCTTCGACGTTCCGACATTTTGTTACCAAAACGATTCGTTTTGGTAACCAGCGTAATCGAGTGGATCACCAGTGAGATAGCGCCAAGTCTTGTATCCGAATGCTTGTTAAGCCACTCAAAAACAAGATCCATATTTTCTAAATTTGATAACTTTGCAGAGAGCCCGTTTTCATAACCTGTTTTCCGCGTCTAAATTCAAACTGAGTAGGATTATAGGATCGCTGGGATTCTCAGTCAATGGCAACGGGTCTTCATTCCAGAACGCACATTTTTTTAGTTGATTCTCCGTCATAGTACTTGTCTAAAGTCCATATCTGCTCTTTTACTGGCATACTTGGACATATTTCCCCTCCTTAAATTGTCTTCCTTAAATAACACCCTCTCGCCGATTTATATATAGCCATTTCCCAGAACCCGGGAGTCAGAATCGCTGATGTTTGCCATATTGAACATGTTGAAATATGTACTGTAATATCTGTAATACTAGGCATTGCCTGCTACGCGTAAGGGTCACGTGACTAGCGCGATACAGGAAAAATGGGGAATTTCGAAACAACAATTTTTGGGCACTTTTATTGCAAATTTCAGGTATTTATAAGTGTTTGTGGTATAAAATATAATCCACACACATAAATGAACATCCAAACTACATATTTTATTACGTTTTGGAGCCTTTTTTGCTTTTAAAATGACATCTTTAAAGATGCAACAAAGAAATGTGTGAAGTTGGAGCATTGGCTTTCAATGGTTGAAGTAACAATATTTTGTTTCAAGCATATTATACCATTGAAGATTCCTCTCTATATTTTACACTCTGGATTCTTGAATATTGAAAAGAACAACCACAGTATAAAGTTCAATGTGATGGTCAAAACTGCTCCAGGATAGGTTAAGGATGCAGCTAGAGATTTGACATTCATAACCAAGAACAATATGGACACATGACACCTGACTTCATTGTATATGTTTACACTTTTTCATTGTATATGTTAACAACTTTTCATTGCATATGTTAGCAATTCTTTATTGTTTATATGTAAACAAATACTTGCCATTTACAGCTGGTCCAGTGTGTGTTGTAAATGCTATTTTGAATCCTTCGCCCGTATTCCAACCATCCGTAAAGAATGTAATTGTAATATCTTCATTAGTCACTGGAATATCTAAGTCCACTCCAAGAGATGTCGTAACAGCCATTTCTTCAAATAGACTGCCACATCCCTTCCAGAGAGTTCCCCCACCAGGAGTTTCTATTTTGAGATAGTCCTTTGCACAGTTTGATAAAATCTCTATGTCAAGGCCGATGATTTGAAGTTTCCTGACCTGTTAAATTTCAATTTGTATTAGTACTATCTCTATGTCAAGGCCGATGATTTGAAGTTTCCTGACCTGTTAGATTTCAATTTGTATTATATCTCTATGTTCAGCCCTATGATTTGAAGTTTCCTGACCTGTTAAATTTCAATTTGTATTATATCTCTATGTGCAGCCCTATGATTTGAAGTTTCCTGACCTGTTAAATTTCAATTTGTATTATATCTCTATGTGCAGCCCTATGATTTGAAGTTTCCTGACCTGTTAAATTTCAATTTGTATTATATCTCTATGTGCAGCCCTATGATTTGAAGTTTCCTGACCTGTTAAATTTCAATTTGTATTATATCTCTATGTGCAGCCCTATGATTTGAAGTTTCCTGACCTGTTAAATTTCAATTTGTATTAGTATTATCTCAGTGTCCAGGCCTATGAGTTGAAGTATCCTGACCTGTTAAATTTCAATTCGTATTAGTATTATCTCAGTGTCCAGGCCCGTGAGTTGAAGTATCCTGACCTGTTAAACTACAATTTGTATTAGTATTATCTCAATGTCCAGGCCTGTGAGTTGAAGTATCCTGACCTGTTAAATTCCAATTTGTATTAGTAATATATCAATGTCCAGGCCCGTGAGTTGAAGTACCCTGACCTGTTAAACTACAATTTGTATTAGTATTATCTCAATGTCCAGGCCTGTGAGTTGAAGTATCCTGACCTGTTAAATTCCAATTTGTATTAGTAATATATCAATGTCCAGGCCCGTGAGTTGAAGTACCCTGACCTGTTAAACTACAATTTGTATTAGTATTATCTCAATGTCCAGGCCTATGAGTTGAAGTTTCCTGACCAGTTAAATTTCAATTTGTATTAGAACTACATTGTATTGCTATGTTAAGGCTGATGAGCTGAAGTTTCCTGACCTCTTAAATTTCAATTTGAATTCATAATTTGTTTGTTAAATTTCAATTGGTATTAGTATAATCTCTACATTTGAATGTACAGGCCTATCAGTTGAAGTTTCTGGGTGTCCAATTATCAACAGTAGTGAAATAATGGAGCTCTTCATTAGAAAGATAAAGTATGGTTTCGTTAGCAAATGTAGATTTCTATTCAAGTGGAAGACAGATCAACGTTTAAAAATTTTGTAAGATAAGGGGAGGGGGATCAAACCATAACAAAATTAACTTTGTTTTTCCCCATCTGTTAATAATTGGATACTATCTGGAAATTTCAATCTGTATTGGATTAACATTCAAAAAGAACAAATGGCATACCTGGCCAACACCTAAGTCGGAGCTGCTGATTGTCCACACACAATTTAAGTAATTACCATAATCCAAGGTACCATAGCCAATTGATTGGATGAAACCTTCGCTACTTGTGATCAGCTGTCCAGACTCGCATGCATCGTCATATATCACTGAATCTGAGAGCAAATAAATACAGATCTTTCAAGATTGGATTGGATCAGATCTTTTGAAATCAAAGTAGCGATCGAACCTCTGAGGATCATACAAATCATAAATCAGATCTTAATGGATCAAACAAGTTGTATGTTGGATCTTTAAAAATCAAAAAAAAATACCTTGAAGTTACAAATCAAAAATCTCAAGATTACAAAAGTAATGGACCAGTTCTCATACACAATTTATCAATAAATATTTTGGGTAACTTACAATCATCCACAGCCCTATGTTGAGTGGTAAAATCATATTTTGGCCAATACTCTGCCATACCATCATTGTAAAAGTCAAAAGACTGTGTTCTTGATTCTACATAATACCAATCACCCCCTTCAGGAGGGATTACCCAACCACATAGATGTGTATTTTCAAAATCACAATTGATGTGTGTGTTCGCTGAAAAACAATTCAAAATATAGGCTGTATTTTGGTATACACGAGAGCGTATCCATCCGCACAGCACTTAATGAGCCTTGTCAGCAGGTATCTCAAAAACGAACAATGAGCTCTGCAATGCAAATTACATGCTTACATGTTACAGCTCATTCACGCGCACTTAAACCTTTTAATACCGCTATGCCAACTTTGTCAGTATACTCGTTCTGGTCAATCGCTGGTGCACCACAGGAGTGCCATTGTCATAAACGTTGGTGTCTTTGTGCGTTTGAATGAGTCGTTTTTGTTAAAAACATGCGACCATGCAATTCACACCATAAAGTCCATTGATCGTTTTCACGATAAGGCTTATTAAGTGACACACCTGCAAATGCACCGCGTGTAGTTTAAAAAAACAGTTACTGAAAATTCAATACAACAATCAACTCATTTACATTCAGTGAGGTGATTGGGTGCAAGAGAATTTGATAAGGTTGCAAGAGAATTTGATAAGGTTGCAAGAGAATTTGATACGGTTGCAAGAGAATTTGATACGGTTGCATAATATTTATTTGTCTTACACAATGCCCAGTACCTTGCACATATAATCGCAATCTAGCTAATTTTTAGTCTTAAAATCTTGCTCGTGGTTAAAAAAGCCAGTACAAAAATCCAGCCATTGATATTATTTGACATTCAGATTATATAATGTTTATTTAGATTGATATTAAAAAGTAACTCACAGCATCTAGTTTCAGTCTCGTCAGATCCATCCCCACAATCATTTGTACCATTGCACAATGCTTGGTTTGGTATACAATGGCCATTCATACATTCAAACATATTTGAGGGGCACCCTAAAGAAACAGAAATCTATGATTAATGATAAAAGAGGCATGTTCTTACAATAGGGAGTTTAAGCTTGCGTATAAAATGGAAACGCCAACCTATACATATGACCAATCGCCCATACAAATGCATTGCTTAAATATTTTCCATTCACGTTTAGGTTGTGAAAAACATTGCAAGCTTAAACTCCTTAATGCCTCTAATGCAACAAACTTGTTCTTCAAAAGTGTGCCTCATATATTCTATATATGAATATGCTTCTACATGTAGTTACATACACTTGTTAAAAAACTGCTTGGCCTATAATGCTGTTAAGGTGATTGGCAAGCTTTTTTGTTCTCAGATTAAAACGGTGAAATAAACTGTTACTTTTTTACATCAAATGGGTAAAGATAAGTTCATGAACAACGGATCGTGAAAATATGAACCGAGATATAACATCAAAACATCACCACCTGTAAACTGCACATTTGGTACGGATTGCCCATCATAGAGATGGGATGGCTATAACACATATGTTCTTGTTAGTTGTTTGTGGTGATTTAAAAATAAAAATGTATAAATATGTACCTTGACTTGCACAAGCTTCAGGTGAGATCAACTGATTATCGATGGCAATCGGCAATTGCTCATTGGTTGTTTTGACTAAGATATAATAATCAAACTCTGCTGGGGGTATATCTATGGCCACTTTATGCCACTTGGTTCGGTCACAGGCAGTGTTACCAGCCATCTTAATATTCCACAAGGGCTCATCAAATCCATTTGACAGGTAGCTCCGGGAAATTTGTAACATAGATGACGGCAATGATACATTCCAGCAATTGAAGTCCTGCACTTCTGTGGATATGTAGACCTTGTAGGAGAGTTGGTAGCATATTCTTTGCGTTTTTAAGCTCCCACTGACGACGGGAGAGATCAATGTGGCCGTCTCGATGTAGCTGCTCAGATAATCAGATGGTTGGTCGCTGCTAGGCAACAGAAAGTAGCCTACAATTGAAACAACAAGGCACAGGGTGAACAATATTGTACCTAAAACATAGCAGTGTAGGCTTGATGACCAAGAAAGCAAGATGGTCACCGAAAGTTAATCAGTTCTAGAACTTCTCACCATGTTACATGTGAAAATTTTGAAGCCAACCTATTAAGTGGTTTTCTTGGAATTGAGATGCCAAGATTTATCTAAGAACTTCTGAAATGGCGTCCAGAATGCAAGAATGAAAGATGGCTGCCAAAAAGTTGTGCAGCTCAAGAATTTCTTTCCACATAACATGTGTGAAAATGTGGTTTTCCTGGAATCGCGATGACAAGATTTATCTAAAAAGTTCCAAGATGGCTGGCAGAATGCAAGATGGACGCCAAAAAGTCAATTAGCTCTAGAACCTCTTACCATGAAACGTGTGAAAATTTGAAGTAAATCCGTCAACTCATTTTCCTGGAATCGCGATGACAAAATTTACCTAAAAATTTCCAAGATGGCCACCAGAATGCAAGATGGCCACCAAAAAGTTAATCAGCTCTAGAACTTCTTACCATGGAACATGTGTGAAAATTTGAAGTAAATCCGTTAAGAGTTTTTCTGGTATCGTGATGACAAGATTTATGTAAAAACTTCGAAGATGGCCACCAGAATGCCCACCTCAAAGTTAATCAGCTCTAGAACTTTTTCCCATGTAACATGTGTGAAAATTTGAAATAAATCTGTCAAGTGGTTTTCCTGTAATCGTGATGACAAGATGTCTTTCAAGTTGACTTCCAAGATTGCCACCAGAATGCAAGATGGCCACCTAAACATTAATCAGCTTTAGAACTTCTTACCATGTAACATGTGTGAAAATTTGAAGTAAACCCGTCAAATGGTTTTCCTGTAATCCTGATGACAAGAAAGTGAGACGCCACCCGCCCAACAAGCTGAAGACAATATTGTACCTTTTTTTAGGTACGATAAAAATCAATCATAAAAGTTCTTTCATACTTTCAGATAATAATTTTGAAAAATATAATTTCAACATAAACTCAACAAATCTTGAACTATGTCTTTTATTTGTTTAGTGTATGCAGTTGGGATTTATCCAATCCTGGCATATTGATATACATTGTCTTTGATGCCAAAATTCATCATTAATCGTGATATAAATTGATGATTTTGGCCATTCAGAAGAAAGACAAGTTTAGTAATATACCCATATGTGATTGACTTGGTTTTTCAGACATTATACAATTTTCAATATTTTCTAAGTCTAATAACCTGACCCATTCCCCGACTCATCCTTTAGAAAGTCATATGATATTTGAGATCTACACATTGTTTACCAACTTTTAAATTTTAGTTCTCTTTTAAAAAGTGACTAGATGTTAGTAGAAATAATCTTGATTTACTTCATTAAATATTCAAAATTCAGTCAAAGTGATGTCATATTTGAAATAAGGTTTTGAAAATTTTTATCAACTTTGAAATTTTTTTTGAGAAAATGTGATTTCTAGTTCGGCGAGATTCCCCATAGACCCAATGTTATAAAACCACGAAAATTAAATTATCTTTTCTTGTATTGGATAACTATTATACCTAATTTGCATAACTACAGTATTAGATACATAAGGGTGATTAGATATGAAAACTGAACCACAAAAACTATATATCGATAATTTTCTACGATACCCGCAATGCTATCTGACCTGAATGAGCCACCTGGTGGTGAAACTGGTAACAACCTACTCGTATCTGAGTTATTAGCCAAATTGGTGGTGATACTGGTAGCTAACTCCTGGCAGGCATCTTGACATAACTCACCTGCAGTTGGATCATCACTGTCATCTCCCAAGGACTCTGTGAAAGCATCTGTGAGGTCGTAGACTCCATTTCTTTGGCCAGTAATCTGAGCAAAAAGTCCAGTTAATAATTCTTCCTCACTATCACTGTTCATCTTTTTCCAATATATTTCTGAAAAATAGAAATGAAATATATATCTAAAGATTTAGTGGTGCCTCGTTCAAAACCTAAAACTTCCCATGAATGTTTTTCCCAATTTCATGTTTGATCATCTGAATAATGTGGTGAAACTATTTCTTGCTTTTTCAGGAAGATCTTCTAGGCTATATTTTCATTTCAATTACCCTTTGCATTCGTTTGACTTCACCTCTTAAAAGAGAGCTTCGTCTTTGTAATTTAACTAGGCTCTGCACGCAGGGTACATTTCAATCCATGTTAATACAGATTTTCATATCTTTTGTTGGGCAGTCTAACTTTTGATGAGGTAGCCAGATTTTTTTATCAACCTACCCCATTTCAGGATGTGTACATTTTTGATGGGGAAGGTGGATTTCTCAAGATGCCTAACAAACTGCATGACCGGTTTTTGAATGAAAGGGACCCCCTGACTAAGATTATAATCTACGATGGTTGCAGGATATAGTGTTATAAATCCATTCTGCATTTTGAGTCAATTTCATCTCAAAACAAGTAAATCTCTTAAAATTAGCATTAAATTTACTTTATGGACACCTTGTATATAAAAGAGGCTTATTAAATGTACTAACTTTTACTGGTATCCACTAAGAAACCCCATTCAATGTAAAAGGTAAAATCTGTGTTGAGCCCTACAAATAGAAAAAAAATTATTGCATTAATAAAAAACATAATTAATGACACATAAATGACAATACAATACAGTTTTCGGAGAGATAAGATTTTTTGTATTTATGATTAGTATTGTATTGTATCATATAGATAGTTAGATAGTTATAGATAGTTTTTGTAGATATCAGTTTAAAAAACAAAAAAAACAAATTTACAAAATACATGCGATTAAAAAGATGCTGATGATAACTAAGGAAACTTCAAAGGACTGAATGTTTAAATTAAATTGTTTAAACACATTATACTTTCAACTTATAATAACAATACTTGCTGGATACTTACAACAATTGTAAAGTAACATCATATACAATAACTTATTGTAAACTTACAACACATACAAATATTTATTGTATACCTAAAACATAGAATGTTCATGAATATGTATTGTATACTTACAACAAGTGCCAATTTCATCTGAAGAATCTGCACAATCGGCCACTCCATCACACATAAGTGCCTTATCAATACATTTGTCACCATATGCACATTCAAATTCAGTTGTACTGTTGCAAGCTGGAAGATGTAAGAATATTGATATTTCAGTATAATAATAGGTGCATCACATATTTTAAGCATATAGGTTTTGGGTGGATATAAAGATAGTAGCACTGACAAAGAGAATTATAAATAAACTCAGATGGATTACCATGCCATCTTTATTTTAAAAAAATTTCTATTCTATCGACTCAAGATTTTGATTTCAAACCTGCGAAAATTTGAAAATATATTCACGCCCGGTAATCATAAGAAATGAAAGGAAGAAATGAATGCAGCGATTTCTGCTAGAATATCTGACATATCTGGGAGAATTATTTTTTAGGAAAAGTTTACTGTTGCCAAATGTTTAGGGGCACAACACAGTAAAATATGTTATAGGTATTCACATTCAGGGTTTGTTTGTTCTATGGAAAAACATTACAGTTTATTAATTTCAGTATCAAAATACAGTACATTACAGTCGAACCATATCACATGTACAATATTTTCAATTTTAGTTCAACGATCACCACTCTTTGATAATGAAAATCTCCAAATTTTTCAGATATTTTTTTAATGGAAATGAATATCGAAAGCAGGTGTCCATACAAGATCCATGTATGGAAGTAAAAAGTAATTTTACACAGTCAAGTACTTTTTTGAGCATAGTGTAACAATATCATAAGAACTTGTTTTCTTCCGAGTCTGGTTTATAATACAAATACCAATCCAAATCCAAATGGATAATCCATGGATTAAGACCCCCACCTTGAAACCAAAATTAGGCTAAAAGCAATGGATTAAACAAGAGCTTTCCTGAGAATGGGCTCTAATCCATGGTTTATCTAAGGGTTAAATTGACAACAATTCTATTTTTCTAATCTCTGAGCGAAATATGTTGTGTTCAAAATAGTTATTACCCATGGATCATATCATGTTTTAATTAACTACCAATACCATACAGGTTTGTAATATTTTGGATTTGGATATCTAATCAACAATGAAAATGTCTCAGACTGAAAGGACTTAGCCAGTAATATTCATGCTTGATAAGTATTGGCAGTCATAAGAATAAGTCATTATTATACAATTGGCTTTCAAGTAGAATATATCCATGAACGCTTTTAATAATATTGACCAGTATATCAAAGTTAAGAAGTCAGATTCTGATAGCTAGTTTTCTAATGGAAAATTATAATAGGAATCATATACATTACTGTAATTGATAGAAGTTGAGCAAATAATATTGGATGTGATATGTGATTTACTATGCTTTTTTCCATTTATGCTCTCTGAACTCATATCGTATATCTCTTAGAATTCTGTGATTCTGTCACGGAGTAAGGTTCATATACTTAACAAGATAGGAGAATTGTACTTAAATTACATATTTCTAATTGTCTTTAATGATAAACATATAAAACAATGTGTAGAATATGACTTTTGGCAGAGTGATTATCTCAATTAAAAATACATCATGAATCTAGATAGACTTAGCTAGATCAAAAGCTCACAATGGTACACACCAGGAAATCTTAAGAGGGACAATTCCTTTAAGTCTGATGCCCAGGATTTAATCCGTTGTGGAACTAAATGTCATTCAACTTCAAATGATCGCATCTTCGTGTATCTACAGCCTACACTGTTTTATTTCATCAGTAAAACCCCCAAAATAAGAAATCAGGATAGCATTGTGCAATAATATATGGAAATGTATATTCATATTGTACATGCATGACATTTGTATATTTCAGATTATTTAGTTTTTAGTGCAATAACACACCGGAATAGCCTGACAATGGTAAATAGTCAGATATCATCACAAATGGCGAACATAACCGACGCTTCAACTCTTCAATCACTTGGTCCTCTTTTCATGGGACTTTATCATCGCTAATTTTGAGCATGTATTAAGCTCTTGTGATGATGTATCATAGAAATTCCCAATTACGATCAAATTGGGTCGTGAATTGCCAAAATATAGCATCTTCGATATCGTCAATGGACAACGGAATCTAAATTTTCAATAATTTACCATATGCCGTTGTCTTTGTAAATTATCCCAAATTCAGTTTCTATTGTCATTGACGATATCTAAGACGCTATATTGTGGCGATTCACTTCGAAATTTTTTTAGCAGAATTTGATTTTTTTCGCACAGAATTTCGCAGAAAACATGATTTTTCAAGTCAACTACCTCATCTCATATTTGTTACTAACCTTATCACCTTAGACAGTCATTTATCACCAGAGACTGGTGTTATGAGAATTTCAAAAGGGAAATGTGATATCTGTTAACAATTCTCAAACTGCTGGCTAACTGCACTTAAAGAATTTGGCGCAGTATTAGACTTTTTCATGCAGAATCTCTGCGCATTTTTTTGCATTTTTCTCATGCAGAAAACTAGGATGTGTGACTAATGGCTTAATACCAGAGCAAAGGCAGAATAATAGGTGAGGCAAATATAAATACTGGTAGGTGAGGCAAATTTAAACAGGCGAGACAAAAAATGAATACCATTCTGTTATATTAATTACAGAGTGGGATGAAAAACTTACGTGAGCAGTATTCATAATAATCCTCCGTCTCACTCTGTACAAGGGTGACATCATCAGATGAATTGTCGAGATTGAACGTTGTGATGTAGCACGTCATACTTGCATGGGAATAGACCAATGATTTACAATCAAAATCTTTTATACATAGATACTTGCACACTTCTCTCGTGATCCCTTCGTGGATCTCAATGGACTTTTGAATAGCTGCTTTACTGTGTTTGATCGTAAGAGTGTTATTGGGGTATGACGTAAGTGGATGACCTGAAGTGCAATCTGGAAACATCAACAAGTTTATATCATATTTTGATCAGTATACAGTAAAACCTGTATATAGTGAACACCTATGGAGCCACAAAAACATGTTCACTTCATCTTTGTGTTCATTAGAGAGAGGATATTTTGTAAAGAAGTCAATGTAAAATATGTCAAAGGTGGTGTTCACTAAATACAGGTGTTCTCTAGAGAGAGGTGTTCATTAAGACACGTTTTATTGTAGTATTAAAATAATGAATTGAATAAAATGAAATCACATGTTTCAGCTGCATGCTTACTGAAATGTCGAACATTGAAAAAGCAGATGCCATAACGATGTGTCACCACTTCATGCAGGTCAAAGTGACATGTCAGAATATGGAACATTTCTGTAAAAATCAATCATTTTTATTCTCTTATTCCAAAAACTAATTAAATGATTGTGGATAGAATAGGTGATTAAACAAAATAAATGCTGTTTATATAATGCTATTCCAGATAATGTACCAAAATTAAGTTTACCTAACACCCAGGTGGTAAATTACTTGTTCACTTAATTTTGTGTTTCCAAAACATACCATATATGGAACAGTCTCATGCACTGCCACAAGAAAACATGCCATATATGGAACAGTCTCATGCACTGCCACAAGAAAACATGCCATATATGGAACAGTCTCATGCATTGCCACAAGAAAACATGACATATATGGAACAGTCTCATGCACTGCCACAAGAAAACATGCCATATATGGAACAATCTCATGCACTGCCACAAGAAAACATGACATATATGGAACAGTCTCATGCACTGCCACGAGAAAACATGACATATATGGAACAGTCTCAAGCACTGCCACGAGAAAACATGACATATATGGAACAGTCTCATGCACCGCCACAAGAAAACATGACATATCGCATGAGCCATGTAAAGGTGATTCTGCATTTTTATAAATTTTAATGGCTTCCTAATAGGAGTCCCATGTTATTTTAAAAAACAGTACATAACTTATTCCATATATGGTTTATACATCTTCCACTTATGCACAAAGAGTATAGAAATGAACCTAGATTATTAGTTAAGGGTAAATAATTTTCAAAATGAAATTCAGTGACCTACTTTTTAAAATTATATAAAATGTAGATGACTGATTTTTCTCCTTTTCCTTTTATATGTCTCGAATATCTATTAACCCTTAAAATAATCGTGTTGAGGTAAATTGATGTTCTATTTGAGCGCACAGATCATGCATCGAACGAGTTCTGTGAACCTGAAATAACATGGGACTCCAAAATAAAACTACTAAAATTCCTCAACATTCATGTCTAATTTAAATCTTTTGAAAATATTGCTACACTTCCCCATGTTACTTTCTTGTTCAAAATAAAATATAAAGACAGGGTTGTACCAGAAAATAACATTGGTAGACATTGCAATCTTTTCAAAAAATGTGAATGAATTATTTAGACATGAACTTTGCAATAGACTGGTGAGATCCACTCTTTGGGAGTACTGTGGTAAGTAATATCCTTACCAACGTCACTTTCCTGGAAAGCCTCACTAACTGTGTCAAAGTTCCCCGATTGGTAAACTTTACTTGCCCTGTAATTTAAAACAAAATTATGACTATCTAAACATTTTATTTGCCTGTTCCATATGTACAGTATATCAGATGCCAGTCTCGTGTACAGACTTAGCCTACTGTATTTACTAGTAATATTGAATTTATTTGAATTCAAAGACAGAATCGAATCTAGAAAATGACACTTGCAAAACAATATACCAAGAAACTGAGAAATTCATTATTATTATCAAATATCTAATTTGTCAATAAAAAGTTTATTTGTATAACATTCATATATCGATAAAATATGACATGGTTTCTACATAAACAAAAGGAATGCAAAATTCTCTTTGATGTAGAAGATATTTTACTGAAATGAAATAAATCATGGAGAATATAAGTCAACCCCTTTCTTAAAGAGAATTTAGAGAATATAAGAGGGAGGGGGTGAATTACTCCCCATGAAATAAATACAAAATAAAAATGAGTATAAATAAAAATGAGTATACCTGAGAAAGTTGTGGTTACATATCGTAACACTTGGTAAATCCAGTGCTCCATCTTTCACTTCAAGGTTGACAGTCATATTATATTGGAAGTACTCATGAATCCTTAAGCTTATCACAACCAAGAAGGCTGCGAACATACCAATAGTTATGATCATCCAAATAATCCTAAAAAAGATATAAAAAATAAATGAATTTTTTCAAACGTAAAAAATGATTTTCTCTTTTAATTTGAGGAAGGCATGCATTACAAGATTTCAGACTTTTGATTGGTTTATTACAATTCATTCAGTAAATGTGGTTTTAAAATTGAAACTTTGAAATTTTCTTTTCTTTGAAAGTGTGACTTTAACAGTTTAAGGTCAAGTAGATTTTCCATAGAACCCATGGCATAAAATCATATTTAGGTGTATTATTTCCTATATCATGTTCTTAGACCCAAATCATTATTTATGTTTTTGAAATGTTCCCTCTTGTAATTGCTGGTAAAAGTATTGTATAAAACTTTTATTTATACATAATATCTGAACAATTCAGTTTTATCTTAAACGTATAATTTTTACAAAAGTTAAGTTTAAAAAATTAAAAATAATCATTTTGATTTAAAATTGTTTTTCTCATAAAAAGATCAATATGGATAACATAAACTCAAGAGAAGTGAGTCCTAAAAATACCAAGCCAAGTTTTTTTCGAACATTACCTTCGCAATGGATGAGTCCCTGGAATGCCAGTGTAGCGTACTCCATGAAAGGACGTGTCCTGGGAGAAGTCCTTTAACAGGGTTCCCCATGGTGCCACCTTTTTCTCTTTTACAGTCACCTCATACATGATTAAAATGCCATATTTTTATCCATATAATCTTTCTCTAATAATCCATGTCTATATGTCACAAAACATGTACATATTCACAATGCCACATTTCCTTATATTCTTTGTCTATAACCATCTATATTATAGTTTATTATTCACGTCTTGATGTAATGCAATATAGACTACCTGAAAAAGTATGTTTTCCTTCTCCAGCTTAATCATATAATCTCCGTCTAAAATCTAAAGCAAAGTTTAAAGCCTTCATGTTACAAAACATACACATCTTCATGTAATGGTTTTAGACTACCCCAAAATATGTTTTCATTTTACAGCTTATAATATAATACAATACTGAACCCACATTAATCCACTAGAATATTCAACTCTGATACTTAAAAGAATCTAATGAACTATAATGCCAGATTATATACTTAATGGCTTATATATTATTCAACATTTCACAATTGTAGTTCATAAATGCATTACCACTTTAGCCACAACAAGACTTTAAATCTATATACAAAATTACAATTACGTACGTGTTGACTGGATCACTAGTAAACAATTCAAAACATTGCTCTAAATCATTTATTATTAAATCCAATGAAATTCGTGTATTATTCAATAAAACTCTCACATGAAAGTCAAGTGGCAAAACCTTTTAAGATCAATCATAAAATAAAGCTAGGTCAATAGACTTAAATTAACATTTTCCATACCCCAGTTTACCTCATTTCCTAAAAGATAAAATTATCAAAATGAATCCAGAGTGTTCTTTGAATATTTTCAAGTTTGACATGAATGAAAATGAAGTGGACTTCCATGAAATCTCCAACATCCTCCTTTAAAAATACACATTTAACCCCTGTATAGGCTCATTTAACCCCTGTATAGGCTCATTTAACCCCTGTATAGGCACTTATTTTGTTGTATCTGGAAAGGGGGTGGGGGAGTAGGGGCACTGCCACCCATTACATTGGTACAGATACAAAACAGAGACTTGAAATACTTCAAAAATATTTATTGCAATTCTGTTTCATTTCATTACAATATAGCATCAGATTTATATCACATATAAAAATAATACATTCATATTTTGCAAAGATTGCTTGTTGATTTCTATTTGAAACAAAATGCATGTAAGCTAATGATTAAAGTAATACTACTTCCAAAAGCCTTTTATCAATAAAAAACCTTTTATCAATCAAAATTGTTTAACTGCAAAACACTGAATTAAAAATATTCATTGGATTTGTCAATTTCATTTACAAAGGGAGTGAAAATATGGATTGTAAGATTTTTTTTTGTCAATATTTCAACAAAAAACAATATTTTTGACAATGGATCGTTTTGAAAAATCCTGCCACCTTTTGATAGATCAGAAAAACTATGATATACTGGCTAAATTAATGATGTCATTGGTGAATCAAAGGAGGGAGGATTATCAATTAAAAAGTAATCTATTGAGTCATATTGGGATATCTGCATCATACCAAAGCTTGTTGCATCACAAGAAATAACTAAATACCAAAGACCCAAACAAGAAAAATGCCTTTGAAAACAACCATCTCAATATAATGAGAAAATCTAGGCAAAAAAGTAAGTATAATTATTTCATAAGTAAATTTAGCACCATCATTGGAGCTCTTAATTTGTAACCTGACCTTCCCATTTAATCATATAAATGTAGATGGTTATCATGAAATAAATTAATTCAAAATATTTAGAATTTTGTGTTTTTCTTAATTGTATTGCATTTCTTAGACAGCAAGAAGAAATATAGAAATATTTGACAAATATTGAGAGCCGTCGTTTTTTTTCTAATTTTTATTGGGAATTAAAGGAATATTCCTGGCCAGACCATTTCTCTCCTAATATGGTAGCTATAACCATATATATACTTTCCATATTTAGCAAATCAGGGAAAAATGTTTTGATATGGTCAATATTGATCACTTAAAAATATAGTGCCGAATTCCAGTAGGCTGCCATCTTTTAATATTTCACTCAGGAAGTGATGTCATCGACTCTCAACTTTGCATATAACACTATAAGGAGCTATTTTAAGATTAACAAAACCAGCTGAATATTCTTTTTCAATTTTGTCTATGATTTAATCCTTCTAAAAGTCTCTTCTTTTATTCTAAGCTGACAAGCTCTGAACATATTTTTGCGCATAAAGTAAGGATCACTCGTCTAGAAGTGATATTGTGCTATTTTCCTATACTGTTATATGCAAGGTCATGAAAGTTGAGAGTCGATGACATCACTTCCTGAGTAAAATCTTAAACGATGGCAGCTTACTGGAAATGAGCACTACATTTTTAAATTATCAATATTGACTATATTAAAACATTTCCCCATGTTTTGCTAAATATGGAAAGTATATATATGATTATAGCTATCACATCAGCATATAAAAGGTTTGGCCAGGAATGTTCCTTTAAGCGCAATTGGATTTCTTTACTTCGCATTTCTTGACCCAATAATTAACTAAATGTACACAGCACTTACTCATTAATAATTCAAAATGTTTTCAATTCTATTTTGACTGCACCTAATAAATTCTTTTTCTATATTTGCTACATGCAAAATATTTTTAATTCTATAAACATAGATTAAATAATTCAAAATATGATAAGTTCTTTTTTGGCTTCACACATAATTAATTCAAAATATTGGTTACAATATTTATAAATCTTCAAACATTGCACTTCACAGAAAACAAGTGAAGGAAATGTTTTGACAAATTGATGGATTTTAAATAAATATTTCTTATAAAGCACCATGATTGGATTTCTTCGTCTTTTACTTTGTACGATATATCTAAACGAGGGCTGTCTAAAAAGTCTTGACATTTTATGTAAAATGTTCAATTATATATAAAAAATATCATAATACCACTCAATATACGTATTGCTGGTAAAATGGATGGTATGCTAACTTTCGCTTAAAGAGGCCCAGGGCATGTCTTATTATGATGTCATAAGAATAACATTTGATGTACCAAATGTAAATATGGTACATAGAAAAAAATTCAAGACTTTTTGGACAATCCTCGTAAAGCTGTACATGTATATCAGAAGTCTTAGATAAAATTCTCTCCCATCAACTGACAAGGACTTTATGCAAAACTAGTACAATGTACCATATAACATTAATCAAATACGTTCACTAATAATTAGAATTGTATTTTGGCTACAAATATAGTCTTTATATTGGGTGCAATAAGTTATTGAATGATTTGAAGTACAATACAGGATATATCCTGCTCGAGAATTCCGCATTGGAACAAAACGAAGTCAAGTGCCAATACAGAATATCGAGAGCAGAATATATCCTGTATTGCACGTCAAATCATTCTATAACGTTTTTATCGTGTGATCCTCTGTATTGTTACTGAGAATGTCCCCTCCGTACCAATATTTTCTGTATTGCGACGGAGATGATCAATGGGGACAATCTCAGTAGCAATACAAATTGCTACAGCACAAGAACTGACCAATCAGAAGGCTTCATTTTACAGATCATACGATAAAATACTGTATTGGATTCTAAAATTGATTGTGGGATCAGAAAAATAAATATTTTCAAAAATAAAACAAAATCCAATCATACCGCTATAATTGCAAACATATTTTAAAGGGGCAATGTCTGTATTATTCAATCTCTTAAAAAGATACTTGAAATGACAGACATTGCCTCTTTAATTGCCTAAACCCCAGGAAAGATCTGTTCAAAAATAAACAGTTGATGCTAAAAAGCTTTATACATGTACAAGTATAGACACAGGTATTGTATTCATATATTAATATAATATGTGAATAGTTGATGTATGTTTCTCTGTGGAAACAGACTTTCTCTGATTATGGCAAAGAAGAATATGGTGAGTATGGCATTAAGATTTCTTCATCCTTTCTCATTTCATGTTTTTTTCATGTAGTATTGATAATTATTGTGTTTTAATTAATTTAATTAATTTTAATTAATTAGTTTATTTTAATTATCATTTTGAGGACATAATAGAATGGAATGTGACATCACAGTAAAATGTAAGAACTGACAATTGGCCATTTTTAGATATTCAGAGAAATTTGTAAACCTTACTAATAAAAAATGTCTTACAAAAAAAAAACAAGCCGAAAAACAGTCCTAATTCTATAATGTGGCTTATGAGAATTTTGAATGGTTGTTGGTCCACTGAAACGACCTGTACAAAAATAATTCATTTCAAAATAATTTTGAAACATTCAAGTTTAAAAAAACAAAAATTCACTTTTGAATGAATTCAGATTTTGAGATCTTAGGAATGACAGCTAAATGACATAGATTTAATCAAGATAGATTTAATCAAACGGTTGCGTAATGAGCTCCAGCGCGTACAGCTTTCACCCAGCGCAGTCTTTTCCCATGCAAAGAAAATTGTGACCATGCTAAAATCTGGAGTATTGCACAGGCTATTGGAACATAGATCAGTAAATGGAAACAACCAGTCTTATACGTGGTTTGGTCAGTTAATGTCATATCTTTAATGTCCATTTTTATGCTCCCCACTTTATCGCCAGATTTAAAGATGTCGTGACCTACAATAAAATCATAATTTCAAGTTATATCTATTTATTGATAATAACAATTAACATTGAACTAAAAAACATACAAAATATAAACAAAATACATTATGCAATCACGATCACGATTTTTAACTAAAAAGGCATTTTAACCTGGCAAATGTCACTACATGCCATTTGTAACAGACACCAAACACCAACCACCATCCAGTAAAAGAAATGTCACCACTTCTGGTGGTGACATAAAAACTAACCTGTCTGTTGTGTTAGAAGCCAGGTGCCTATAAGTGGTGCCAGTGTCTGTCCAGGTTTTGACACGAGTGCAGCTGTACCAAACATGAGAGCGGAGACAGCCTGTTTTCTACTATGTAAGACATAGTCCTCGTCAACCAAATCGCTTATGACTAGATTCAGGAGTTTACATGTTCCCTCGGTAAACACACGGTTGCTAAAATAAAGAGTCACATTATACTTTCATTCTTGAATCAACCCTGTCATCCAAAAATATTTCACTCTACTATACCTTGCATTTAGTGTTCATAAGCAACCCATTTGGCTTAATAGTAATGATTATATTATTAGTTTTTTTGTCTGTTCTTTATGAATGGTTTATCGGAAGACTGTTAGATATTAATAAGGCACTTGCAAAAATATACTAAACAACACAATTAGACAAACAGAGTATCTTATGCATTTCTAGGGGTTTGGTAAAGTAGAGTGTATTTGTGTTTAACTTATTTACCAGTTTGCTTCACCAAATGGATTGTTCATTTTAATAAATATTTGTTAATTCACCCTGTGACTTATAATGTTAAACAATGTCGCCTTTTGGAAATTTTATTTTAATATATATTATTGTCTTGTATAAAACATGATAAAAAAGAAATTCAAAAATGTCATCCAAATGATTTTGAGATGTTTACCATGAATCCAAACTCAGTCAAAGGGATTAAAAGTATATCTTGATATCAATCAGAAAAAATACCACTCATCTCTTGAAATTCTTACTCCTAGTGGATGATTGTATTTCTAAAGAAAACACAAACAGTAACAGTGATTCATCCTCTCATGCTTGATGTACAATGTAAAACATACACTAGTTTTTGTTGAATCAAATAACTTTTGAGATTTAATGTTAACATACATTTACCCCTAGAGCACAGGATAGTTCTAAACTGAAGAATCTCTCTTATGAGATATAAAGTTAAACTAATGCAAAGGGTACATACCTTGCAATAAAAAGGCAGAGAACTGGTATATTGTTTGGTCCAACAGTAAGCATGACACCACTGAGCAAAAGTTTCACATAAAACAGCCATTGTATCACTTTGTACACGCCATATTTACGACACAGCGTCAGGAAATATAAGTTGTTAAAATGTGGTGCCACAAATGAAACACCTGAAAATGAAATAGAAGAATTAAAGAAATTTGTGGGGAAAATAGGTTGACCATGCAATGCAATTGCCAAAATTTGACACCTTCCTTTTATTTTACATAATTTCTTCAAAAATGAATATCAGTTTCACCAGTAACCTGGCTGTTACATATTGACCTGGTTGTTACATATGACTTGGTCGTCACATATTGGCCTTCACAAATTCTACATCATGATGCTCATTAGGGCTGAAACGAATAGTAAATTCTCATACCGAATATTTGGCCAGCAAATCCCCGTTCGGCCCCGAATATTTGTTAAAAACCCGGAAGTAAATATGAGTTGTTTGATTTCAAAGAGCATGTGAAGTAAATACGCCAAGTTTGGTTCTAAAACACATACAATACGTAATTACATTACAAGAAGCGATTGCCGATTACTGTAGAACTTTTTTTATTGTATTCGAATTCACAATAAAAAGTGAAGTTGTAGACGATAAGACAATGCAATGGTTGTGTTATGAATGATTATAAATTAACTTATTCCAAGCGCATGCGCTAAAAACCGAACCAAAAAACGAACCTGGCGCAGATTGCCTCTCGTACAAACCAATGTTCTTAACTTTATATTCAAGTATTTTACTCTTATGGATGCCACTGGATTAATCAGCAGTGCTCAGAGGTTACAAGTAAGAGCTGCAGATGACTCTTAGGTGAGTACCGTGTAATCTATATCAGGATTGCCTTAGAATTGGGTTTGTCTTGGCGGGAGACTAAATCAGCGCGCATGCGCAGTCAATCGTTAATATTCAAATACCACAAAATGCCATTCCAATATCACCTCAGACCTATTTGCAACCGAATACTTGAGTATTCGTTTCACCCCTAATGCTCATCCCTATATTTGACACTGCATATTTCTGTCAATTTTGGGAACATGCAGCCACCATACGGTTGATTTAGATCAAATGTGCCTGAGGTATTAGGAATGTCCCATTAACGTTATGTATATATTTACCCAGCAGAATTGAGCCAGTGGAAGGTGTTATAGCATCTCCCAACAGATTCTCCAGGAACAAGGGGAAGAAATTACTGTTAAAGTGGCAATGGAACACCTAAAATCATAAGTATACAAGACTTAATCACAGCAAGTTACAATGTTAATGTTTTTTCTAAATAACATTCCAAGGGATGTAGCGAGGCAACTGTCTTAATATTTTACAGAAAATCATTAAATTTTTTCTAGACTGAGACTGTGATAATAATCTATTGGATTTGCTTGTCTTGCCTATTTTGAAAATGTCTTGTCTCTATTTAGATACTGTCTATGTCCTTACATTTTTTTTATGGTACTTGATGCTAACAGATATGAAAACCATTGGTCTCAACACTCAGGTATTGATATTTCCTTATTCCCTTTTCAATGTATAGTTTATATCATTTATTATTTTTCGAGAGTCCTGCTTTAGAGATTTTCTTGAAAGAATTGGGTTTTGGCCATTTCTGAACACAAAAGTAAAAGTGGATTTCACAGGGAAAATCTTGAACTAAAAGATACTTACCTGTATAAGGTTCATACCAGCGAACCATATGAAGTTTTTCTGAGTTGCAAGTTGTTTAATATAAATATAAAATTTTGATGCCTTGGGAACAACTTCTGATGATGTCTCTACATGTCCTGATGGCCTGCAATGTAAGTTTCAAATATTCTAATTTTGTAATATTCACACATGTTTCCATTCTGAAATGTTCATAATGATTGGTGTTCATATTTTGTAATGTTCATAAAGAAAGGTGTTCACATTTTATAATATTCAAATTAAAGGGAGTTATCATTCTGTAATGTACAGATTGAGAGGTGGACAGATTATATGATATTCACACTCAGAGGCATATCATCCTCCGATCACAGGGCTTCAAAATCCAGAATATATTCTTTCTTTTTACCCCCTGCGATAAGCTGTTAGCATTTCCCCGATTAAGAACTCACAATCTGATTGGCTGTCGCAACACTGCGACAGAAATCATGTATAAGTCATTGTTCATGATTAGATCTCATGATTCTAATCGGGTTATAGCAAGGGGAAGAAGGAGGTACGGATTCTGGATACCTGCTTAGGAGGATGAGGCATTTACATTCTGTGATATTCATACATTCTGAAATGCTCAGATCAGATTAGGAGGTGTTCACATTTTGGAAAGTTCACATAAAGCACACTGAGTGTATTTGGACTATACTAACCTAAAGTGGGACTCTTCATTTTCGTTTTCTTCATTTTTACTTTTCTGCACATAAAACCTCCTTAATACAGTTGTACTGCACAAGAATCCTACGATAGAGAATGCTGAAAGTCCTGCACAGAAAAACTGGAATGACGCAAAACTTTCTCGATTCCATACAGTATATGACAGAAACACAGAAAGACTACCTAATGCCATAAACACAGAGCAATAAAAATTCAGACGTGTCCTAGTTTTGGCGGAAACTGCAAGATCGGCTAATAAGGCACTATGGTGTAAATCGACCATTGTAAGGAATCCATCGTATATGCACAAACATAGAATAAATTGCACGGTGGGGTTGCCCCAGGCAAACCAGAATCCTAAAAAGGCGATTCCTAGAAGAGGTCCATTCCATGATAACGCTCGTAATCTATGGAGAATAACTGCACTTTGGGTAGTGTTCCCTTTACTGTTTAAATATCCCTTATCACTCAGCCAACCAAATAGAGGATCGTTCAATGAATTCCACAGTAGAAACACAGTCTCGCCAATCCAGAATGAGGCTTTGTTAATTTTGTAGATGGAAACGAATGTCTCGATGTGATACAGCAGGAAGACATTGTGGAGGACAGCACTGAAGAGGGCTATTGAGCCGTAACATACCCCAAGGGTGAGAGGCACCCCTGATCCGCTGCAGCGGGTGGACGGGGCATCCTCCTTCGAGGTTGATGAATGCGATCTGTGGAATGTCTGACTCTCTTTATTGTATGTTAATCCTGACATCTCATCCTGAAACATACAAATAAACAAAATTAAAAAAATTATCTAAAACCAACAACATCAGATATAAAAACCATAACCAGTTTCAAGAACCACTCTGTCTGTTAAAAAGCTCTTATTTAGTTTACAATCACTGCAAACAATGTGTCATTCTAACAGCTGGTAAAGCCAAACAAGAGATTATTGAAAGTCTAGCAATGTAAAATGCATCTAAAATAATAAATTTTATTATGTAAAAAAGAATATGTCTATACATTGTTTGTCATACACACCATATAATGTTATTCCTGGATAATGAAAATGAATATTTCATAGATTTTACATTCACTAAGATAAATATTGCTTTATGTGAGCCTGGTGAGTCGGTGACCTTACTGAATGAAGATATCAACTCATCTCCTATCATACTATTGATAACAATGACCCTTATGTTATCAAATGTCATATTAAGTAGAATATTCTCTGTTGTTATCTACTAGGCCTACCCTTAGACCTTTGCATTCGTTTAACTTCACTTCTTAAAAGAGAGCTTCTGGTTTATAACTAGACTCTGCGCGCAGGGTAGTTATCTACCTGATACATGTAAGAAATGTCCCTGTATTAACTTTAAGGTAGTTAAGCATGATGACAATTTTATTGAATTTTCAAGATTATGATCAATAATTGATATGGATAATATTTTTCATATTTTTATGCACATATTAGCACTAAATGGTAGAAAACCTGATTGCCCAAATTGAAAATGTTTCAATTAAATGTTGATATGGGATTTCTTAAAACATCTTGTTATGAAAGTGTAGAACTATCTTAACATATAAAATTACTGAATAAACCTGGAAGAAGCAATTCAGTTAATAACAATATATAGCAATTTAAAACACATATCACTCTATTACAATCAAATGAATCAATGTCAGTCATTCAGAAACTAAAAAGAATACACCCTGAATATGAAACCTGCTACTTGCCTATGTTAGTGTATATAATAGCTCCAGCAACTAGTTCATACATAAACTGATAGCAGTGCTGCATATCATCCACAGTTAAACAATAACAAAGAATACACCCTGAATATGAAATCCTGAGTCGGACTACTTGCCTATATTGGTGTATCCTGAATTTGAATATCCTGAATATGAAATCCCGAGTGTGACTACTTGCCTATGTTTGTTACTATATCAATAGCTCTGGCAACTGGCTCATACATAAACTGATAGCCTGCATATCATCAACACTTAAACAATGACAAAGCTGATTTCATTAGCCTGTTTTCATGCATCTGCAATTTATGTTACTACATGTACTGTTACAGTGAGCTCATAGACTGTTATTGATTATATATCTAAATGTGTGTATATTTGAAATACTTCAGTACATGACGTATGTCACATATGTTAAAAAATATTCTGTATTAAAAACTTTCAAATATGAATTACACTTTATCAAATGATTAATACATACAGTACTTTGAGTAATTCCAATTATGATATCCAAAGTCTATACTTTATCTAGTATAGGAAAAAGTAGTTGCTCTTGGAAGTGGTACAGACAGACTTATATAAATCAGAATTTATAAACTCTGTATCTGATAAAAGCGTTTTACAAATCTATGATAGTATTAATTAGTAACATATTAACTAGGGTGTGTATTTAAACTATTTCAGTCACTTTTCACAAACATAATATAAACAATGCAAATATCAGATATGTACTTGAGTATTTAAATCACAGCAAATAAAGTTTATTGATTATCAAAAACAAGGTGTTGACCTTGACCTTAGGCATTATGGCATATATGTCTTGAAACAATTTGGGGAACTTAAAACTCTGGAATTTTACTATTTTAGTTCTAGAATATTCCATGTGGTTTGTTTTAGGGACCGATTCAAAAGATCAGATAATTAAATAAATCTTGATAGTTAGGCTTCGGAGGGGGGTATAAATGTGTAAAAAAGTTAAGTTCTGCCAATATAGATTATTGATTCGCCTTCGTCACGCTCATTTTTTTCTGGTGTAATCCCCATGTTGCTAAGAAAAAACTTATACCACATAAATCTTGATAAAAGAGGAATATTAAGTCAATTTATGGTAATCCTGTGACAGATTAGAAAAAAGCGTGATATATACACATATATTGGACCAAGTGCTTGACATATACGGAAATCGCGTGCAAAGTCTGAACGGAATTCGTCCGCTTTTTTCTGCATTCACTTTTTTTACCATATCCACATTTTAAAAAAAAAGATTTTTACAATTATCAACATAATGCATGATTTGAGTGACATTTTATCATACACGCTAAATTGATGCATGATTTCTATTTTTCCAGCAATTGCGTGACAATCACACCTAATGTGTGAGGGTTGACAGGGCTGCTTCCTTGACCTCAAGCACAAGGTTCTCAGACAACCAATTTTTTTGTAATTTATATAAAAACATTCAGTGTTTTCACACCAAGATTTCTATGTGAGGTAGGTACAAAGATTTTCAAACGGAATGCGTGACATGTACGCGATCCACGTGAAAAGTCCGAACGGAATGCATATGTTTTTTTCGGCATTCGTATTTTTCCTGTATCGGCGAACTTTTTCAGAAATTTTTCTACAGAAATATTTTTGCTTGACAATTACCAAGTAAAATGCGTATTTGCGTGACATTTTCTGTCCACCAAAAAAACTGGCGTGACTTCAAATTCTTCAGCAAATGCATGACGAATACGCAAATTGCGGGACAGTTGACAGGCCTGATATGAGGCATTACCCGTGGGGTCGAATTGGCATTTTTTCTTATTTGTTATTATTTGAGGCCAATTCACCCTTATCAAATGTAAAAAGTAAAAACAATGCAAACAGAGAAAACATTCATAGGCCTATGCTCTGTGGTCCATGTGGGCCACTAGTTCTAATCAGAAATGTCTGTCCTTAGTCGAGTCTCTAGCCAATTCTTGGCTAGAAGTGATTCCATCTGGAACACCGTGAACTAAATCTTAAGCCGTCGTTCAATAAATTTATGTAATATTCTAAAAATCGTTCTGTTAATATTTCATGAATTGAAATGGTAACGGCTTGTCTTGATTATGAGATATTGAACGTTTTCATTTGAAATAGACGTCGTCTCGTTCTCCATTTTGAAAGCATGCCTTTTTTCCACTAAAGCGATTTAGTCAAGATGGCCGCTTGTTGTAAAACATTTCCTTCAGTTTTATTTTAATTCTTTTGTGAATAATATCCTGCGAAGTAGACCAATTTATGAACTAGGACTACGTGTAAAGATCAATGAAGGTGAGTTTATTATGTTTACATCAATAAAAATAAGACGGCTTGGCAATTTAAAGGCAAATTCAAAACAACAAAGAGTGTCTTATTTATATTGTTGTATGGCCATTGGCAACTGAGTGTGGAATATGGTCTGTCCTGTTGATAAAGTTGCTGAGGTGTAAAACACATCAGATAAACATATTCATATATCGGACAAACATAAAAGTCACTCAAGTCAAAACGTTTCTTATAATTTTTTCATGCTGAACTCAATACTTACGTCGTTATAAACACTTTTCACTGAAAAAATGGAAAAATCATTTTTTTTATTTTTTTCAGCTTCCGTTTACTACGCGCATGCGTAGAATAATTGCTATCACGAAATAATGAAGCTTTTTGCTGCTGTAATCACCTTCATTATCGTAGAACACTCTATAAAATTGAAACAAGCGTATTATTTTATTTCAAAAAACCACTTTATCTGTAAAGAGTATGGCAAAAATAAAGTATAGCTAATTCAAGAAATGTCAGAATTCGTGATCCTTTTGAAGCATCTCAAACTATTGACCGATGATTTATTTTTCACGTTTTTTGAAATTTAGCAAAGAACTTGCTAAATGTTGCAATAACAAGGCAACTAAATTCCACCAAACAAGGTATTTGTGTTGCCAAGGAAGCATGGAGTCTGGTGTTGTCGCAGGGAAGCAGGCTGCTGCCAGGGCTGCCGTTGAAGATCATCTCAAAGTGAGTACAAAATCATTTCCAAGATCAAAACAAAAAAGAATGAATGAGGACAATCCATCACACACCATTGGTTTTAATCCCGATCCTCAGAATCCCATTGGTCTGAAGCCCAATAGACCGGATTCCAATGGTCTGAATCCACATGATCTGTATCCTATAAATTGGTCTGAATCCAAATAGACTAGAATTGTTTTCATGGCCTGAGTTCGGCACTAACATATTAAATATAAGAGTTAGCTGGTGTTTGGGAGTCTGACTTACCTTCTAAAGGTTAGAACCCGAATCCTAATGAAACCATATCACCTTTGTTCTGTCAACCATGGAGCATTTGCCACAACATCCAAGAGGTAAATCATGGACCGTGAAAATGAATGATTTCCTTGTAAGTTCCGGAAGTTTCAATACGAAAAATTACCGAACATATGTGAAAACCGAATATTTGTTCGTTGTTTTCACGGTTTACAGGTTCGTTTGTTCTTCAATGTTTTGGTCTAAATTATAAAGCATCACCAACAGGTCTTACTCTATTAATCGACTAATACAGCAGACGGCTCATATTTCTACGTAGCATTTCGTTCAGACCAATAGTGGGAGTGTAGATCACGCAGTTTTGTTCGTTGCGTACTTCACTTGAAATTGGTAATTTAAATATTGGCTACTTCACTTAGCTTGGCGGATGTAGAACATTGCTTAATATTCTTTTAATTTTCACACCAGACATGCTTGGTTGACACGTCAACAAAGTAAAGTTCAAGGGTCAATGCGTTATTTCGTGATAACTACAACGCCTTCCCGGAAGTCAACATTGATGAAAAATGAAAAAGTCGGAAAAGCATTTACACTAATTTCTATCAAATGCTGTCTTTATGCATCATCATCGACGCAACAAAGGTGATATAGTTTCATTAAGATTCAGGTTCTAACCTTTAGAAGGTAAGTCAGACTCCCAAACGTCAGCTAACTCTTATATTTAGCATGTTAGCGACGAAGTCAGGCCATGAAAAAAATTCTATGTCCGAACCCATCATCCAAATCTCAGTGGTCTGAATCCCTTTCATCCGATACAAACAAAGAATAGGAAGTCAAAAATCTTTTAGAAATGTAAATTGTGATAAATAGGAAGGTAATCTTACTGTCTAATAAGCATGATGTTTAATTAGAAATATCAGAGTTATCTCATGATGCTATATTATGCTGTAATATTTATTTGTTTACTAATTTTCTTGTAGGACAATCAAGTTGTTGGTGTTGGCAGTGGATCCACTATAGTGTATGCAGTTGAAAAAATTGGTAAGGAGCTTTAGATGCATTATTTACTTTAGTTACCCATTGACTGGAAAAGTTTATCAAAATGGAGACTGGGGACAGGAGTTAAATACAGCGACTTCGAATTATATCACTCAGTATGAATAATAAAATTAAGTTCCACACTCAATTACTTAACTTCTTTCAACATCATTATGGGTTGAGAAATGTCCTGTATAATATTTATTATAATGTCCTGTATAATATTTAAAATTGCCTGTGTAATATTTAAAATGCCCTTTGTGTAATATTTATAATGTTATCATTTCAGCATCCAGAGTGAAAGCAGAGAATCTAAAGATCATTTGTGTTCCTACATCATTCCAAGTAAGTGAAATAACAGAGGCGTAACTAATGATCAGAGGCACATAGTTCTTTCAAAATCATGCAGTTTTTCACCTTTTTAAATGATTTTGGCCATTTTGGACGAAAATTGTCAAATGTGACCCCCATGGAATTTTTTAAAAAGTGACCCCCCTCCCTGATAGATCCTGGCTACGGGCCTGTATCACATCCATTTGTACATCATTTGTCCCTGCTCCAGCATTTCCCATGTTATCGAGAAATAGCATTGTTGACATGTACATGAAATCGTTACATTCTTCATTTGATTTCAGGCACGACAGTTGATCCTGGAGAATGGACTGGTCATCTCAGATCTCGAACAACACCCACAGGTAAGTAATGGTCTAACCCACATTTCTCCATCCTCCGAAGCAGGTGTCCAGAATCTGTACATCCTTGTTCTTGATTTTGGAGCCCTGCGTATGGAGGATGACATTCTCAGCATGCAACTGGTATGCTCTCTCAAACCTGAATTTGCAAACTATTATTGCCCAATGAACAAGATGTAATGTGCCACATTACAACAAATAGCCAGAGTGCCTTTAATACCAATATTAAGCTTCTCACACTTATTCCTATTGTAAATTTTTTTTTTTACCAGGCTATAGAAATTGGGGAAGGTTAACATGAGAAGGGGGGGGGGCTTTCTTATCACAAATTACATAACTATTTCTTTTCCCCAAAATACTGATCATCAGTTTCAAAACATGTATCAAAAGAGCATATCAATGTACAAATATCTTTAGAATTGCTTTATTGCTCTGGAATTACAGCTTGCTATCGAGAACCTTGATTATCATCTCGTACATGTACTATACAAATATGACTTAAAAAAGCTGTGATGCTTATTCCGTGTGGTGATATTATCCAGCTTTTGGAATGCTTTACATTATCCATAAAGGCCTAGTCCATAGTCCATATAGTTTACCAATAACTTCATATAAGGTCAGGTTCATGATTCAAAAATTCTCAAAAATAATTTGTGATTTGTTTTCATATTAATTTATTGAGCCCATTGCATATGACTTTATTTCATTTTATGTCATCAATGCAAGTGTTGACACATTGTTATAGTCTTCAAATTTTTTGTAGATGGTGATGGATGGTGTTTGGCATTCGGCAGTTGCTGTTTGGTGGTCATCATTCAGCATCTGTAACAAACTGCAGGTGGTGACATTTTGCATGTTAATGCCTTGTTGTCTCTTTACAGCTGGATCTGGTCATAGATGGCGCTGATGAGGTGGATAGTTCACTCAACTTGATAAAAGGTGGCGGTGGCTGTCTTACTCAGGAGAAGATTGTTGCATCATGTGGCAAGAAGTTCATCATTATTGCAGATTACAGGTATTATGTACAATTATTCATCAGATTCCCTGTGTCAGTGTGTTACACCATCTGAATTGATTATTGGAACTTTTAGCAATCTAGATGTTTTAGGAAAAAATTGTGATTTCCTTTCGAAATGACATATTTCATGTTTTCTTATTGATAAAGAAAAATGATTCTGTTAAAAAAAGTTTTTGACAAAACGATAACGTCTAAGACAAAACTGATGCATGATTCAGTTTTTCTTTTTCTTTAATATTCCCTGTATCACTTTCCTAAGCAATCGATATCTTACTGAGAGCATACCCCTTTGAAGGGTGAACCATGATTGTTATGTGATTGAAGATCACTGTTTTATCTCCAGGAAAGATTCAGTGAACTTTGGAGACAATTATGCTGAAGGGATTCCTATAGAAGTTATCCCCCTGGCTTATCATCCCATACAGCTGAAGATAAAAGAGATATATGGGGGCGACATTAAACTAAGAGTTGCCAAGAGAAAAGCAGTAAGGCACTAGGTTGATATCTGAAACATGAAAAGTGTTGTGTCATTGTATTTATGCATGTGGTCGTTAATATGTCTTAATGCAGTAAAAGTGAAAAGTGTTGTGCCATTGTATTTATGTGTGTGGTCGTTAATTTGTTTTAATGCAGTAAAAGTGAAAAGTGTTGTGCCATTGTATTTATGTGTCTGGTCGTTAATATGTTTTAATGCAGTTAAAGTGGAAAGTGTTGTGTCATTGTATTTATGTGTGTGGTCGTTAATATGTTTTAATGCAGTAAATGTGAAAAGTGTTGTGTCATTGTATTTATGTGTGTGGTCGTTAATATGTTTCAATGCAGTAAAAGTGAAAAGTGTTGTGCCATTGTATTTATGTGTGTGGTCGTAAATATGTTTTAATGCAGTAAAAGTGAAAAGTGTTGTGTCATTGTATTTATGTGTGTGGTCGTTAATATGTTTTAATGCAGTAAAAGTGAAAAGTGTTGTGCCATTGTACTTTGTGTGTGGTCGTAGATATGTTTCAATGCAGTAGTTCTTTTGGGCATATATCATTCTTTAGTCCTTACAAGCCCTTGTAACCCCCGCCACTACAACATTTCTCTTTGTGAGAAGGTGTGTAGGCAAGTAGAGGGGGAGGTTCACAGAGACTTGTAACTAGACTTATCATTCTTGACATCATTCGGATATTCACATTTACGTATTAGTTTTAACTGCTATAAATCAATTGCTTTGTTAATGAAATGCAAGAAAATTAGACACTTCATTTAATTCAAATTTTAGTGATAAATATATTGAAATAGGAGTTTAGAAAGACTTCAGAGTCATGACCACATCTTTGTGATTTTAGGGACCAGTCGTGACAGACAATGGGAACTTCATCCTGGATTGGAAGTTTGATCCATCACTTTGTATTGGTAACCAATGGCCGACAATCAATCAGACGATTGTAGCTATGCCAGGTATTTAGCAGTTAAATATGCCCAGTCCTGAATCTTTGAAAATCAAATAACTCATGATCCAGGATACATCATAAGAATTTTAAGCCTGCTGTCCAAAACTGAATTTTTATAGATGAGCTCGGTTGTCATGGTGATAGTTGATCAATAGTGAAATACCTTGGACATTGTCCTATGGCTCAGTGTTTTTACTGTACTTTGAATCCTGTATCCGTTTGTTTGATTTCCTTATTTTGTATAAGTCTACAAAGACACTGATAAAATGACTCATGAAAAAGATAGATAATGGGGAACAATTTTGAAATGTCCTCAAATGTGTTTTGTTCTGTTCTAAAGGTGGAGCCACAAGGTGACTCCTAATTTAGATTTGGAAACACAATCTTTTTTTTAGTCTTAGTCTTTTTATTTTTCAGGAGTGGTTGATACAGGGTTATTCATAGATATGGCTGAGAGAGTCTACTTCGGGCTTGCAGATGGTAGTGTGCGCATACGTGAAAAACCACATAATGGAGACGCATGTGCAAATGGTAGAAGTAGTGCAGAGAAATAGCATAAGGAAGAACTTTTTAGTCCATGTTTGAAAAATGTTGCAACATTTTTAAATGCCAGATATTATAAGAAAGAATGGTATTCGAAAGAAATAAAGCAAAAAGACTTGTATTGGATATTTGAAATTGTATGGAAATACATGAAAATCATGCAGCTCATTCAAATTTTTGAGAGAAATTGAGTAAAAAAAGCAGAGGAAAAATCCATGCAGGAACAATATTGCGTATGATATTAATACAAATATGACTGAGAGGGGAATAAGCAAGAAATGCTTGAAAATGTGCAACCATTAAATTGTATGCCATTCCAATGAAAATGGTATTTTGTTTATGAACTTCCAAGGAAAATCATCGCCAGATTTTTATGAATTTGGCATTTATGTAAGGGGCCAATTCAATCATGATAAACATTGTAACACATTTTAATTATGATCCTAAATTACCCCTAAATGCTTTCAATTCATGATGGTTTAAAGCTTTCACCATCAATAAATTTTGATATTTAAACATTCTTTTCTGTAAATATGAATGCTTGATAAAATCACTTTGTTAAAATTAAATATTATTGATTGGTAAATTGGGGGTAATTTGGGATCAGTATTACAAAAACTGATGTAAAGTGATCTGTTTGTTGGATAATGGTTATACTGTACAATCAAATTGTAACATTGCCAATTTTGTATCATATAGGTAGTAAATCACATATTTAATTTGATCCACTTAAAGTGACTGATAATAATTGGTGCCAATGTGTAATTTACATTGTAAAAATGCTAATCTTACCTGACCTGAAAAGGGCAACATTTAATCAGGAAAATTTTCTTTGCTGTTAAGTGCCAAGCATGTATTCATCTGCATCTTCACATTTTTTTGTGTTCACTCTAAGAACTTAGCATGCATGCTTGAAAAGATTTTTTTGCTTACATAACCAAGGTGCAATTTATTTGTTTATTGTCCTTTTTTGTCACTTTGCCTTACCTTTTATTCTGGCCAATTGTTAGCCATCAGGCCCATAGCCAGAATTTGCCAAGGGGGGTTCAGTTTTTAAAAAATTCCAGTGGGGTTCATTTTTGACAACTTTTCTCCAAAAATGGCAAAATCACTTGAAAAGAATTTTTAGCCAGGGGGGTTTGCTCGAACCCTGCGAACCCCCCCCCCCCCTCCCTTGGCTACGGGCCTGACTATGGCTTTATTCTCAGTTATGTATTTTTTTTGTTCATGGTATTATACATGGTTTTCCGCATAAACATATTAGAAGCCATATTTGATAGTGTAAACTCAGTTTGAACTATTCATGCATTGTTTATGCAAATTCAGTGTTGTGTTTTTTGAAGGGGCCAACATTTACCTATGCACAATTGACATTACCAATGTACAATGTAGACATGACCTATGTACAGTGGACATGACCTATGTACAGTGGACATGACCTGTACACAGTAAACGTGACCTACGGTATGTACATTGGACACGACCAGTACACAGATATGACCTATGTCACTTGCTGCTTGCAGTGGACATGACCTGTACACAGTAGACGTGACCTAGATACAGTAGACATGACCTAGATACAGTAGACATGACCTAGATACAGTGGACATGACCTGTACACAGTAGACATGACCTAGATACAGTAGACATGGCCTAGATACAGTAGACATGACCTAGATACAGTAGACATGACCTAGATACAGTAGACATGACCTAGATACAGTGGACATGACTTCTATACAGTTGAGATGATCTAGATACAGTGGACTTTGTTTATGTGCACAGATCTTTATGGGAACAAAAAATTGTAAATATTTTGTTTGATTCAACCTCTGTATATAATGTCCATTTACTCTTTTGTATTAATATAAAAGAAACATTGTTTTAAAGACTAAGCAATAAAAATTGCTTTTGACAATGATTGTTATTTTATAAGAAAAAGTAAATAACCTTTCCAGTCATTCATATACTAGCCTATTATGTATCATATCAATAAATGCAATACTACTACTAGAGGTTTGTAAACTTTTGAAATTATTTTCACATTAATACAATCGATTCAATACAAAAAGCAACATTTAAGTAAGATCTGAAGTAAGGCAAGACCTTCATTTATTTAGTACTATGTAATTGAAGTACATGTACTATGTAACTATAAGTATTTTGTTACAATATGTATTATGTAACTGTTAGTACTATGTAACTTATGCAACATGTAACTATAAGTTTGAACCCCAAAATCATTGAAAAGAAATATATTTTGAGTTGAAAATGAAAATTGAATGTTTGTTTGATGTTGTTCATTTTTCCAGGGTTTGAGTTTTTTAAATGAATAAAATAGATGGCGATAAAATCTTTGATAATTTATTGTAAGCTCCAATGTGACCTTTTAGCTGTCGTTGGTGTCATGTTCAAGTACTTACCGATCCATTGGAAATATAAGGGGGATAGGAAGCTAGTCTTTTATTTTAATAAAGAACACTGAAATGTTCGCTTTGAGTCGATAACTTTAATTTTGCAATTCTATCCCAAATAAAGAAAAAGAACATGTGTTAACTTTTCTTTATCTGCAATCGCATTACCAATAAAAAGTCCGAATTTAGGGAATTGGTTTCCATCTCAATTTAGATTATCATGTGACCATAACACACACAGGTTGTCAAGACTGTGACGTTTGCAGTCCAGTGATTAGAAGTCCATGATGTCATCTATTGGCTCATTTCGGATTCCAACTTTTAATTGATTACCATTAGCCATAAAGAAGCCAAAAATAAATATGAATAGCTTTTAAAAAAGTGTTAGAAGTGATTTGTCTATTATAATCAACTGCTGCTATATTCTGTCAGCCAAGTCCATAAAAGTACAAAGCTCTGCCTGGTTTACAATTTTCCCCGGGTGTTTTTTGCAAAATTAAGGAATTTCTTCCAGTGTAAATTTAGTCACGTGATAAAAAAAATGGTGGACTGAATAGTGAGTGAAATATTTCTAAATTGTTTTCCCGTTTTAACCACGCAAGCAATGAATTACCTGCCCGGGACTGCTAGCCTCATTGAAGAGATAGATAGTGAGTACCATGGGACATTAGTTAGTACAGCAGTCTGTCTATTAGTTGCACATTTTGCACTATTGAAAACCACATGTTTCATTCTGCATTTTTTCAGAATAAAAGAGAGAGTGAATAAACTTATTCTTTTTGTTTCTTCTGGGAACCAGTTCATATGGATAAAATAACGAAATGATGTGATGTAGCCATGTAATATACTTACTGATATGTTCTGTATTATCCATCGGACTACATGTATGTGAATTCTGGAGCTCAGCCAAACACGACAATAACAACATCTTGATGTTGATCTTAGCCGAAAATCTTTGAAATTTAGATCATCCATTTTGCCAGTCATATGTCTGATCACGTGTCTAGTTACTAGTTGATATCACGTGACTTGTGACGTGTCACTCAACCATGTCTTCAAAGAAAGATATTAATAGTATAGTTTCCATATAGCTTTTGAAATCTCGCTAAATCTCGTTTTTCGTGAGATTTTAAGAGACTGGCATATTAGACCTCTAATGACTTACATTTCCTTCTATAAATGGTATATTTGAATTCAGTGGAATGTTTTCTCCTAAAATAGCTTTGATTTACACAGTTATGTAATTTGAATAATTTTCTATGACAATTTAAAAAAAGTTGGGCCAAATGTCCATAGATGCAATGCTAAAATTCTTTAAAACCGTGGATTATTTGTATGTCAATCAACATTAGCATGTTTAATCACAACATGTTCATAAACAGGGTCATCATGTGGTATATCATTCAAGTTTTATACAGATTCAACAAACACACTTTGATAAATCATGAAATTAAGCCACTTTTCCAAGATTTTAGCATGTAAGTGAATGGAGCTCTAGCCAGAGTTAAAAGCTGAATAAAAGATGGCAGCACGAGATTTCATTGATTTTTCTGCTATTTAGAAACTATCCTATTTATTAGAAATGGTCGGACATCTGTTGCTGAATATAAAAGAACATTTTTCCAAGATAGCGATGTCACATATTTTAGGAAGGGCCCCTGAAGTTACTGACTATTAAAAATCAACTTTATTCAAGATATTGCGCAAGTAAACTTATTGATTTTGACCTGAAATGATGCATCGAAATAAGGAAATTGAAACGCTTAAGTGATGAAAAACAATGAACTAAAGTTTAAAGATCGCAACGTTCGCTACTTTGTTCAATTCCGGAAATCTTCAAGGTGCTACAAATAGGAAATTATTTCGATCTAAATTTTATAACCTCAGAATAATGCCTTTGGTAATGTTAAGCTGAGTTGCACAATTTACAAAGTCTGATGGATAGCATAGAACATACTAGTAAGTAGATACGTCGTTACATCACATCATTTCGTTATTCTAACCCTATGAACTGGTTCCCAGAATAAAAAATTTGAGTTTAAACACCGTTTACACAGAACAGTCTTTTTCATCCGACTTTTTATGTCTTCTAGAGACCTTTTTTAACCAAAATTCTCTTTGCATGATACCTCAATGTGTCTTCCTGAGACCTATTGACTATGGAGTCCGATTGAGTCCTGTCGAGACCGGTGGAGTCCTCACTCATGATGAAATCCCCTCGGATTGTGTGACGTCATGCATGAATGCCTCTATTACAATGGAAGTATCACATGATCAGATTTTATGGTCTTGGGGTTCTCAGAAATTTACACTAAACGGGAAATGAAAAAAACAATGTAGATTTTAGAATTTTTTGAAGTAAGATAACAGATCTAGAGTTCTGCTTTGATCTGCAGTCAGTAGTACTACTCCTATATTACCTTCTTCTAAGGCCACTATATCGTGGCCTTCATCCAAAGATAAACCTCTGCATGTTTTTTACTGCTGTATACGAGTCATGTCGTAATCATAAAATTTGAAATTGAATCTTTGCCATTTTTCCACATCACAATTTGAATTGCGATTTTTAGTCTTTTTACCTCACCAGAAATTCCAAAACACACATGAAGTTATCAATGTATTAGTTCACATCTTCTGGATCGGTAACTTAGAATTTACAGCCAGTTACTAATGTCAGACAATAACGAAATTTCGCCCAGTTTTCAAATATCGCCATTTTTTCTTGGAGCCGTTTATTTTAATTTTAGACATTAGTTCCATTTTAATTCATGAATTTATTTATCTGGCGATTTTTAAAATAGTTAATAAAATAACACGAAGGCCAGCTTTTTTCAAATGGTTCATGATGTTCCAGATGAAATTACTTCTAGCCAGGAATTGGCTAGAGACTCGAGTAACTCTCATATATCATTTACGTCATTTAAGTGTGGGTCATATCCACTCGACAGTAGCCCCATGTGGATGTAAATATTTAGAGTTGAGCGTAAAATTAAAGTGCCTTGCCAGCCACATTGTCTCACATGAAAAACATGAAATTCGCCATTGTTGAATATTATAGAACAAAGTCAATTTTAAGTACTTTTGTGAACATATTATTTTATTTTTAAAGATTTTTAATCACAAGAGTATACATACAAAGTTGTTGATTTTCTTTCTCAGAGATATTTATTTTTATTTTTGATGTTTCATAGGATGTCCATCCTACTTCTTCAGAAATAAAATTATATTTGAATCAAACTGAAATAATTAATTATTACATAACAATGAGACAAATAGCAACCGTTACTATAGAAAACTTCATTGATGTTACAATTAAACAATTAATTGAGAAAAATAGCAACCATTACCATAAAAAGCTTCAATGATGTAATATACAATTAAAAACGTTACTAAGGTATTAGACAACATACCACCTAGAAACGACACTAAGACATTATGAATATGAATATATAAACTATAACATCTTAAAATAGACGGGATCCAGTGTGTAACCCTGATCCCTGTTTAATTCTGGACTTTTAAGTTTAATATGGATTGCTTCTTTGATTTTTCTTTTTAACCAGTGTTTTTCATTATCAATAACCGATACACCTGTCCAATTTATTTCATGTTCTTTATTGATAGAGTGTTCCATAATGGCTGAAGCTATCTGTCCATTGGAAGATAAGGTGACCCTCTTGTGCTCCTTTACTCTACATTCCAAATCCCGCCCTGTCTCACCAATGTAACACTGACTACAATCTCCACATTCAACTTTATATATTACACCTGCCTTTTTCTCATCTTCAACCTTGTCTTTCAAATGGACCAATTTATTCCTTAAAGTCATTGTAGATGAAAAGCATACTCTAATATTGTGTTTACTTAATATCCTTCGTAACCGTTCTGAGAGGCCTTTAACGTATGGTAACACAACCGTGCAAACTGGCTCTGGTTATTATCCCATCGAACGAAGTTCGGAGGGATATAGGGAACGCCTCCGTCCGTCCGTCCGTCCGTCCGTCCGTCCGGGCAATAACTCAAATACCGTTGGCCCGATTTTGTTCATATTTTGTACACATATACCCTATGGGGGTAGAAGTTCTGCTCGAAAGCCGATTTTCAAAATGGCCGCTCATTTCAAAATGGCGGCCATTTTAGTGCCGAATTTACAGTAATTTAGGTGCAATATGTAAAACTGTAATAGCAATATGTTTTAGATGTAAAAAAATTATATAGGACATTAATAAAGCTAGAAATGTAGATATTAAAGAAGCACATGGCAACCATCTTGAAAAATGGCGGCCTTTACTCGTTATTTTACGATTTTTGCTGTAACTCGAAAAGTAGTGGAGCGATTTTTTCATATTTGGTATGTGAATACTATAAAAATTGCACATTGTCTAAAGGCACTTTTGGTAGAAGGTGGCCATTTTATAAAATGGCTGCCATTTTGAAAAATGGCCGCCATTTTAACCTATTTTACTATAACTCGAAAAGTAGTGAAGCGATTTTGTTCATATTTGGTATGTGAATACTATAAGGATGGCACACTGTCTAATGACACTTTTGGTAGAAGGCGGCCATTTTTCAAAATGGCCACCATTTTAACGTATTTTACTATAACTCGAAAAGTAGTGGAGCGATTTTGTTCATATTTGGTAAGTGAATACTAACAGCATGACACACTATCCTATGACACTTTTAGTAGAAAGTGGCCATTTTGAAAAAAGTTGAAAAATGGCCACCATTTTAATGTTTTTTACAATAATTCGAAAAGTAGTGAAGCGATTTTGTTCATATTTGGTATGTGAATACTGTAAGCATGGCACACTGTCTAATGACACTTTTGGTAGAAGGCGGCCATTTTTGCTATATACTTTGTTTGTAAAAATGCCATCCATGGCTGTTCGATAGGATTCGCTACGCTTTGGCGTTGCCGTTGTTCTGGTTAATAATGAAAAACACTGGTTAAAAAGAAAAATCAAAGAAGCAATCCATATTAAACTTTAAAGTCCAGAATTAAACAGGGATCAGGGTTACACACTGGATCCCGTCTATTTTAAGATGTTATAGTTTATATATTCATATTCATAATGTCTTAGTGTCGTTTCTAGGTGGTATGTTGTCTAATACCTTAGTAACGTTTTTAATTGTATATTACATCATTGAAGCTTTTTATGGTAACGGTTGCTATTTTTCTCAATTAATTGTTTAATTGTAACATCAATGAAGTTTTCTATAGTAACGGTTGCTATTTGTCTCATTGTTATGTAATAATTAATTATTTCAGTTTGATTCAAATATAATTTTATTTCTGAAGAAGTAGGATGGACATCCTACGAAATGTCAAAAATAAAAATAAATATCTCTGAGAAAGAAAATCAACAACTTTGTACATTACTACCAGAGAGATGAACATTCATAGAAGAGTATACATACCGTATTCTCTGTAATTAGCGCCCAGGGCGTTTAGAAAATTGAAAATACATTATTTAGACCATTCTAATAAGCGCCCATGTATGAAAGAAATCAGAAATCCCGAGGAATTTCATGTATGGCAATTTTTCTTGACAAGAATGCATTTTCTTCAACATATTTTTATAATAATATGACAAGTGCTGTTATTGGAGAGAATACGGTAAAGATCGCTTAGACAATATTGACAGTGGTTGAAGACCCGTCTATGTCTAATTTATTTCCGGCACGCCCACTTTGTCATTATCGCCGATTACCTTCAATATTTCCACTAGAGACTGCTGGATATCGATCTAAAGTTATACATTATTTCTAATTTGATGAGAGATCATCATTATTCGTGCAAAAGTCGTGTAAAAGTCGAGAAACATTAAAAAGAAACCAGAAAGTTCACGACCTTGACATGCGCAGAACATCTGCGCAGTAGCTTTTGAAATTTCTGAATGCCGATAAAGAACAATTCCTTCATTCATTATGGATTATTATGATTCCTCGATGTTTCTTGAACTTTGTGAAGCGGGGTGGGCGCTTATTAGAGAGTGGGTGGTAATTACAGAGAATACGGTATTTATCATCTGTGACAACATTGATGATAAATTTCTGAAAAATTCAAAATATTCTGTTCAGTGACCTTTCGTAAATGCCAACTTTAACTTTTTTCAGTCACAATTTCAGAGTGCTGAAAAGCTATTTCAGCATCATGGTAAGGGTAATTTTGGCCATGACCATTGTGAGCCTGGTCATGTAAATAATATATGGGAGTAGTAAAACTGATTGAAGGTTAAAGCAGAACTCTGTTATCTAGTTCAAAAAATTCTAAAATCCTGTTTGGTGTAAATTACTGATAACTACCCCGAGTCAGATGAAGACCATTAAAAGAATGGAAAGGCTCATTCCACATTGTAGCGTTTTCCTGCGGACTTCACCAAACTCAACAAGACACCATCACATTTTTAAAAAGATCAAGACCAGCAAAATTGAATTCTTGCAGGGAATATATTAAAATTTATATGTTCTGATATATTTCCAGAAAAGCTCCTGGTAGTACTAAGAGATGGTAGGACATTGATAGGATACCTAAGAAGTATTGACCAATTTGGTAAGTGAATTTTTATAAAAAATGGAAATTGAGGAAACCTCATCGAGGAATTTAGTTATTCATAAGACATGATTTTCTAAAATTGTACTTCATGCACAAAGAGAGGAACAAAGTGGAACTTTGTTAAATTGCCAAACACTAAAATAATACATGCATGGGCGTAGCGCCCGGTACGCTGGGTACGCACAGGCGTACCAGATGGTTGCAAATTCACTTCAAATACAACCAAATTTCAAAATTTTCCTGGGGGAGAACCCCAGACCCCCCCCCCAAATGCTCGTTTTTTGATTCACTCAACTCTTGTTCCGTGGTGGTGGCGTACTACTTAGAAAAATAGCGCTACACCCATGACATGCACCAAAATTTAAACCTTTGACACAGCAAGACCAATCTAAATTTTTGTAAGAATGAGAAAAACTGGACAATGACAAATCTTCAATATATTTGCAGCTAATCTTGTGCTACAGCGAACGATAGAGCGCATCCACGTTGGCAAGAAGTTTGGTGACATTCCAAGAGGGATCTTTGTCATCAGGGGTGAAAACGTTGTCTTGTTAGGAGAAATTGTAAGTGAAGTACATCTGCGACATATTGATTTCACCGGGTTAAATTATGTGATCAACCAAGCATTTTTATTCATGTATGTGTATGTATTTTTGATTTTATATAGGAACTTTGTGTACATTGTTCAAGTCATTTTACAGTCTTTCAGTCAGAATTTGTGAAAAATAATACAATTTTAATTCTGTAACATTATAACAATAGTTTACAAATATAATATACCATACATTATTTAACCATCATAAATATAGCTAGTGTCATGTACATTATAGCCAAAGAACTTTTTTCTTTTCAAGCTTAGTTCTTAAAATGATCTAGAATATAATTTTCATCTGATTTTCGCTAGAACACCCAAGCAATGAAGGAAGTTGCCACAATAAGTTTATAAAAATGGTATAGCACCCACATGAAAACTTTTGAACCCAGTTCAGTTTTTCGCAAGGCAAGTCATCACCTACAAAATCATGTGATATTTAAATATAACAAATCAGAGAGTTTGAAACATGACATTACATTTACGATTATTTTTTCAGAACCTTGAAGACGAGGGGAAGTCAACGCTGGAAGAAGTCACGATTGATGAGATACTGGAAATGCAAAGAGAGGAACAGGTGAATAAACAACAAGAAGAAGAAAGAAAAAAGAAGGCTATGATAGAACGTGGACTTACACCTCACACTGACGGAATACAAGAGGAGTTCCTATAGCAACTGACATTGTCGTAGCAACCATTTACTCAGTGATAATTTGACACAAGTTTTCATATTTTGACTCAGTCACTAATAGAATAAGTAGACTTGGTTTTCAATAATTTTTGGTATTTTAAAAAACAACGACATAATGGCAACATCCGACAATCTGAAACTGTTGAAACAGGGGGCAGAGGCAAAGTTATTCACAGGCGATTATTTTGGACGACCCTGCTTAATCAAGGAACGTTTCAAAAAAACATACAGACACCCTATTCTCGATAAATCTCTTACGTCCCAACGAACGAAAAATGAAGTTCGCTCTATGGTGAAATGTCGAATGTTGGGCATCGAGACACCAACAGTTCTGTTTGTTGACCTCGAGCAAAGTAGAATTTATATGGATTATCTCGCAGAGGCTATAACTGTGCGTGATTATATATACAAGGTACAGGGTGATAAGGATATGATAGTCAAGCTATCTCCATTGGCTAAATCCATTGGAAACACCCTTGGTAAAATGCACCTTAATAATATAATCCATGGAGATCTCACTACTTCCAACATGCTCCTTAAGAAACCATTTGAAGATCTGAAATTAGTGATGATCGATTTTGGATTGAGTTTTATTGATAACTCGCAGACCGAAGAAGATAAAGGTGTTGATCTGTATGTCCTTGAGAGGGCACTACTGAGCACTCATCCCAACACTGAAGCTCTATTTGACGTCATCATACAGGGATATAAGGAGGAGAATCAACAGGGAGCCGCAGAGGTGATTAAGAAATATGAAGAGGTCAGAATGAGAGGGAGAAAAAGAACGATGGTTGGTTAAAATGAAGACATTTCATTAAAACTTTTGTTTAGTTAAGGGATCAGTTGAGGACAAAAATAGATTATGATTTAGAATAAGACATCTTAAATTGAAAATGTTTTGACCTAATCTGATTTAACAACATGTTGAGTGAAAGGATAATCTATGTGCAACTCATATTGCCAAATGAAAATGATTTGCCAAACAATCCTGTATTTCACAAAATGTTATTTGTATTTGTATAAAAAATGTTGTCTCTTGGCTTTAAGTTTTTTTTAATATTATTTAGGAACTAGATTGTCAAGTCGTTAAATAGACAAAAGACAAATTAAGCTGATCTGTTTATGAGTTTTGGATGAGCCAAAAAGCACTGGTTGGTTACTGTGTTCTGTTTGTGAATTAATGTCGTTAAATAGACCAAAATTCACTGACAAATCTTTCTGCCAGTGATCTTTCACTTTAATATAATTGTCATCAAGAACATAGCCTACCGTTTTACCTGTGTAAGTGGAACACTCTTGGCTGTGCAGGAGGTCTAATAAACATTTAGTCACTGGATAAAGTTGTTACACAACTTATAGAGGTGTTGTACTTGACATGTTGAACGTGGGCTGATTCATTTTATTTTATTTTTTGTTTAATTTTTTTCCTTTAAATTGTATTAGGTATACATTGATTGAATAAAAGATTGTTTTGATAAAACTATGTTTAGTTTATTATATGAAAAGTGAATAATTGCATTGTTAGTAGGAAAGAAATACATGCAAAATGCCAGTGAAAAGTGTTTGGGGATGACATCAAATTATGATGTCGTAATAATGAATCCTGGGAAAAGGTTTAATGGAATATGATGTTCAACATATTAACGATCCCTCCATTCAGCTCACTGTCGAAATTATAATACTACTGTGTCGAGAATGATTTTAACGATCAATCTTTGGATCAGGTAATAACTACATTTTCTAACTACATATTCTCATTTTTTCAATGCTACAAGAAATGCTAATTAATCATGTTAAGAGACATTAAACAATCCTGTACGAAGAGATTGAAAAGTCATGTTTCAAAAATTGAAGTGAACAAAATGGCGGCTGTTTAAATTTGAATTTTGTAATCACGACATGCCCATAGCTGGCAAAGATATTGATGTTGTAGTTTGGGAGCCAATCCTCCTTGGTTTTGGTTGGGAATTCACATTGATTACACTGCCATCTTTCTATTGACCAACAAAGTAAAACCATATTGATGCCAAAATGACAAAGATTAAGGGTGTTGATGTTCGAAACAATTGAAATCACATATTTTGGATTTGCCATATTGAAATGTGTTGTTCTTATATAACACTAATTACTCCATGGTTGGTGAAGTCATTAAATGTTTTATTTACTTACGCTTTTTGATGATCCTAAATTCAAGTGGCGTCACTTCAAGCGTTTGGCTTCTTCCCATACAATTTAAATTGGTAAGATCTCTAGGATTCTATTTTGTTTTCAAATATCCTTGTATAAGGATTCTGTGTTTGTGATTAGATACATGTTCAGTCTTCTTGTGCAACTTGAAAAGAGGACAAATGCAATAAATTTTCTCCCTTCAAAGTTGGATGATCTCTTTTTAGGTTTACCTACATTCTAGCCGAACATTACCTTTATAAATTGCAGTGAAACCTTTAAAATAGCATTCCAAAACCTGTATATCTGAACACCTGGCTAATCCGAACACCTCCCAAACTGAAGACTTTCCGGTCCCACTTTTTCCTCCCATTGACTCCCATGTTAAAATAACCTTTAAATATGATCACTTCCCAATTTGAACAGTGAACAGTCATATTTGAAAATTTAGCCTGTCTAATCTGAACTTTTCATAAAATTCATACAAAACTGATCAAATATTTGAAAGTTAAACGCTCATTTGTCATGATATCAAAATTTTTGATAAAACTCACTCATAATGGTGCTTTCTAGCATGATTTAATTCACTTGGATTGGATTTTCAAACTACTGAAATGCCATAAAGCTATGTGGTCAAAGGAACTACAAATTTTTATTGAAAATGTGTTCACATTTCTTCAAAATCCAGAATCTTGCGAATGCAAAAACTTCGAAATGTGAACACCTAATTTGAATGCTTTTAACTGGTCCCAATGGTGTTCTCATTAGACATGTTTTTATGTAGAGTGTTTACATTTCCTTACTATAAAGGATCGAAAAAATTTTCTAGCTTCAAATGAAAAGCTAATAGTCAGTGACACTAGATGGATATGAACTACCTTTGTACTTGATTACAAAACAAACATGCAAAAACTTAATGAGATAAGGAACATCAAAAATGAAATGAAATATTTGTTTACTTTATCTATGATTAATTTCGGGGATTAATAGACTTTTCCAGTAAATCCTGCCAACCTTTTGATAGATCAAAGAATCTATGATATATTTTCTAGAGTGATGATGTCATAGGTTCAAAATTAGCAACACGTTAGTTCTATTTTTGCTTGGATAGATTGCTACCAACAACCAATGACATCATCAATCTAGACAATATACCCTAGCTTCTTTCACCTACAAAAAGGTGGCAGGATTTACTGGAAACGGTCTCTTAAAGTCAACACTAAGATTGTTTTTGGAACATCACAGAGATACTGATCTGGCCAAATCTATCAAAGCATGGCAACTTGAAACAAGAGTACAGAAATTACTTTCAGCTATTTATTTTAAGAAAACCTAACTTTACATTTTTGATAATTTCCCTTATATTAACATGTTTTGTTTGATCAGGTGGCATTACATAGGTGTGTACCCAATTGTGATTGGTGTACGCCTTCCGAGTCACAATATTTGAAAAATTCCTTTTTATCATATCATTGCATAATGATAACATAGTTTTATCTGTGACATATTTTATCCTAACTTTACACATCTGGTCCAATTTTGCTATTGCATCCTTGTCTAATGTTGGCAAAAAGTAACTAGAATCGGGAGAATGTATTTTATCGTAATTATTTTCTTGTTCGATTGGTTGCCTTGAATAATAGTCTACTATTCGTTGGAGCATGACTGGTCCAGTTTTCTCAACAATCTTTCCCCTACCTATGATGTTACTTTCCGGTAGAGATTGAATAACCATTTTGAAAAATGGATGGTGTGGTCTGCAAGCCATAAATGCATTAGAAGCCAATTTTGTTTTCTTCCAAACAAGGTATGATTGCTGCATAGGTTCCCTGGGAATTATACATGCATGCTGGGTAGTAAGTGCATCCAGTGGTTTCAGAGACTCCATGTCTAAATCAACATAGACACCTCCATAGGTGTATAGAACAAAATACCTTAAAGCATCAGCACGATGAATTGATAATGGATATTTATCGTAAAGTTCTAAGAATTGTGGGTAATAATTTTTTATAAGATCTCTTGCTGAATTATCTGTCCAGAACCAATATGACCATGTTGGGTGGTTCGACTGCCACGAGCGGATCCACTTTGAATACAGATCTGGATCAGGAATATTTTCGTCCATCCAAGTTTGGTGGATAATTTGTGGAATGATTGTAGAGCCATCTATAAAAACAAAACAAATGAAATGAATGTATATTTTGATATAGCCTATATAAGAAGCATAATAAGAATCAAAGTTATTAACCCAACTGCCCAACAGCCAGGGATGAGGCAAGTGCCACATCAAAATTTCAGAATTTTTCAATTGAAACTGAAACTGAAGTCAAAAATAACAAATTGTATTGTCTTTAATTAAAGTTTCCCTCACACATTCTTGCCAATCATTTTTCTGTAAAATTTTAGTGAGGCAGTTACCTCGCCTGTCATTCCGAAAGGACAAAATTAGCAATTAGAAGCCAGAAAATATTTGTTTGAACTTACTGTCTGAATGCAGTCTCATTGGCACCTGGGGGTCCTCATACACCAGTTTATTCAAGAGGCTGCTGTTAAATATTGTCATATTTAAAGTGGTAGGGTTTCTTCTCAAATCTACCATACCATGGAGCTGTTTAAAATGATCGTAGATGTTAGTTGTCTGGATTAGTTTTGCAGATGTGGGAACGAATGGGGCTTTTGTTGTAATTATATTTTGCGTTTTCAATTGTTTTAGTATATTCTGAGTCACAATACTTTCCTTTGAGTTTAAGCCCTTGTTTAGAATGTATAATTCCCATAATGTGATCAGGAATGTCATAAATACAGCAAATTGTAGAATCTTCCATGGTGTAAAGAAGCGTTTAAGTCGACTCAATATCATACTGGAAGTGATCGTAGGAGCACTGAGCTGATAGAGATATATACTACATTGAAGGTATTGTTGCTATACATGTAATAATGAATCTCTTGTTGCTGTGGCAATCATGTTGTTGCTATAACAATGATAGGGTAGAACTTCGTAGCACAGCCTGGAAATAAACATTAAGTATCATTATACATTTTATTATACAATATAGCCCTATTGAATCCCCATCTAAAATCCACACCATATTATTACAGATGAATTAACAGTTCATTCATGGTCTTTTTCCGGGTCTTTTTTACAAACTTTTTCATAACTATTACACTGCCAATAGATGTATTAGAGTGTAGTATTCGAGTGTAGCAGTATCCTGGGTGCAGAGTCTAGTTATAAACTACCCTCTGCCTAGTATAGACTTAACCAAACCTGTCTGACCCAGTTATCTACTCCTGACATTTCAGAATCAGGGAGTAGATAACTGGGCAAGGCGAGTTTGGTTAGTATAAACTGTATTACAGTTTAGGAGCCCGCCCCTATGCCCATGACAGTCTGGGTCATAAATCATTTCAAACCTCCCGTGCTGATCTTTTCTCAGCCAATCAACAAGCTGGAAGGAATGCTAAATGAGCACTCATTAACTATGTGATGACATCAGAGGAAATATATAGAAAGTCATTCATATTTCTACCCTGCGTGCAGAGTCTAGTTAAACTACACTCTGCCTAGTAGAGACCACATTACAGTTTAGTAGCCCCACCCCCACGACGGGTACTGGTGACAGTTTGTGTAATAAATAACTTTTGACCTATGCGCTGACCTTTCTTCCACCAATCAGCGAGCTTGAAGAAACATACGCCAAATGAGTTTTAATTAAATATGCGCATGTCATTGGTCAATTTCAGGCTCAACGATGACATCAGAAGGAATGACCATATATAGAACGTCGGTCAATTTTGGCCGACGAACACTGATTGGCGCGGTGAGTTCACAGGTTTATTTTAGTTTGAAAGAGTGAAGACGAAGCTCTCTTTTAAGAAGTGAAGTCAAACGAATGCAAAGGGTATCATATTTCAAAGACAAACTCTGAATGGCTTGGTGAGTTCAGAGATTTATTGTAAACTGAAAGAGTGAAGACGAACAGGCCTTACTCGAGTCTCTAGCTTACAGCTAGACGTAACTTCATTGATTTCGTATGTACTCTAGAAAAGGTGCTACACGCACCTACACGAACCTTGAACTCATTTTTAATAAATTTTATAAATATTTTTAAGAATATTAATCATATTTAGGATGAAGCGTTGCTTGTCTGGATTTAGATATTTGAAAATTTCATTTCGGAGTTTGACACATGGTGAAATTTTCTCGCTGTAGCTAAAAATGGCTTCCGGTTCTGGACATGAACAAAATTTGAAATTATTCTTGCTTTAAAGAAATCAAATATAACAATAGATTCAGACGGGGATGTGGGCTGATGTTCTTCAAATCTATACATAAAGGTATATTTCATATTATTATGCCATATTTACTGTGCGTGTGACACAATGATTTACAATATTTATAATACTAAGGCAGCTCAATCTTCCTCCTCAAAGCCGGAATATAGAGAAGGCTTTGGACCGAAGTAAAACAGGCCCATAGCCAGGGGGTTTGCAGGATTCGGGCAAACCCTCCCTCACCATTTCGAGCACTTCTCAAGTGATTTTAGCCACATTTGGGCCAAAATTGTCAAATGTGGAAATTTTTGAAAAATGAACGCCCCCCCCCCTTCTACGGGCCTGACGAAGCTCTCTTTACAAGCGAAGTCAAATGGAAACAGAATAACATGACTAGGAATGTTAAATGGTGCTATATTACATAAACGACTCATATTTCAATAAATATCTGATCTATGATTGAGCATGAAATCTTGGAACCTGAGAGAAGAAAAAAGATTTCCTGAAAAAATGGTAAAAAGTATCGCTACCATGCATTCCATAGAATACACTAATATCTGAAATAATACTTCCAAAAAGATTTAACAAACAACATAAATTCACAATATAGTATTGATAACCTACATATTTACCAGGCAGTTCATCTAACAATAAAATAAAAAGGTCTGTCTGTTCACACATTTTTGTTTATGTGACCTTGTCTTTACACTAGACGAACTGTTTATTAGACAATTTTTTAATTCCCGGGAAAAAGTGACTACATTTCATCAATCATTATTCATTACACAAATATATGTAATATACTGATTACTTCACATGTTTGCAACCATTTCCCTCACATGTTTGTTCCTTTGAAACTGTGAAATAAATACACAAGCACTGTGATAAATTCCCGGGGATGAAATAAATGACAACAGTCATCAATTCCCGACAAATTTCGTTCGGTGTATCTGTGATGCAATGCTGGACACGTTTGAAATCCCAAGGAAAACTCCCAAAGTCAAAACCACTCTGCAAAAGCATAATAATCTTCACGAATGGTGAGTATCTGGGGTGTAAGTATACCTGCAGACTTGCTTTCAAAACCATAACTATTCCATGACTATTCCAATCTTCCAATTTGTGGTAAAAAAGTAATCCTGTTCCACTTCAATGGATTTTCATTGAGATATGCATTGAAATTAGATCTAGTTCCAAGGGTTTTCAAATTGATTGGCCCACATATGGATACAGCAGGGACGGATCTAGGAACCAACAAGGGGGGGGGGGCAAATTTCAGGTCAGTGAAAAATTTTTGAAATGTTGAGGCCCATTTTCTTCAAAATTTGGCCTGAAATTAAAAAATAAGGCCTTAAAAGGCCCAGTAATGACCAAAAAGGCTCACTTTTTGGAGCCTGAAGGCCTTGTTTGGCCCAAAAAAATTTTTGGGCCCAATTTTTTTTTCTGGGCCCACCCAAGGGGGGGGGCCGAGCCCCCAGCCCCCCCCCCCCCTAATCCGCCAGTGTACAGTGTATATTCAATAATCAGTGGGTTTTGATGGGCTGCCTATTCCAAACTGCAGAAGGTGGAAGTGCCAGCCTTTGGTAGTGGGGGGGATTGAAAACTCTCGCCACATATAAATTTTTTCTCTGCTAAACAAACTTCCTTCGTTATGTCAAGGGTTTAACAAGATCAGCGGTAGGCTGAAAATCCAGAGGGTAGGGGACCAAGTGCAGAAAAAACAGTGAAAAAAGTAATACCTGGAGTACATGTATGCCCAAATTAAAAAGACAATGCACAGTATTGCCAGTTGTTATCTAAATTATTCAGTTTTTATGTGGAGAGGAGTAGATTTTGAGCCCAAAAATATTTGTAGGCCTTAGCCCTATATTTTTTTCTGACTGGAAACATACATTGAAGTTCAAAGTGAAATTACTGTATCAAGTGACCAAAGGCAGCCTTAGTGCCAAAGGGATTTACACAATCACTACATGTAGAATGTGATGAAGAAGAGGCAGCCTCTGGGGGATGGCCTTAGCCCTAGACACAGTGTACGGTTTTTCACTTTAAACATACAGCATCCATAAAAACTCTCAATTTTAATAAAAATGATCATTTATTTGTCTGTTAAATGTACATCAAGGACATCGAGATAGATGCCTTGAATACATGTAGCTTATATAATATAGTCTAGCTAGTTATTTTGGAATGTATAAAAAAGGACATTGGCACTATCACATCAAAACTTACCTCTGTCTACCTCAAAATAATAAGTAAATCCATCAAAAAGGAAGGTCCACCTGGAAGAGAAAGGATGGTGGGAGGCTGGAACGAGCTCTTCTAGCCCCTCCGGCTATGGGCCTGTATTAATAGACAATTGGTATATATTGGTGAATGAATATATACTGAATAGTGATCAGTACCTTCTGGTCTGTACAAAATCCTAGCAGAAACAAGAAGAGAAGGTTCAGGTCAGAGTAATCAAAAATATGTCTATTTGCTACATTGTTTCTAAAATTTTCTACTACTTGTAACATTGAAGTCATAATGCAGTTAATCAGTAAATTAAGTAAAGGTAAATTAAGCGATCATAACAAACCTGAAATCAGTATATCTCTGACTTCATACTTCCAATAAAAATTGTAAACAGCACCCCCTTTGTCTGTCGGGCCTACCATATAATCCTGATCTTATCATGTGCCAATATAAATGAAACTTTGTTCAGGTTAACCAATCACTTGAATAGGCAGACACTGTAAATCATTATACTGTAAGATAATATAAAACAAAGACAAATAAATATTTTTAAATAATTATTTAACAGGCATTATTAGTGCCTTGTGTTTAATGGAAGTCAAGACTGACATGTGCACATACTGTAATGATGTTGAAGGTCAATAATTCAGGTCACAGAAGTTCAAAGATGTGTTTAGGTCAAGGTCACTTGCAAGGTTAAAGCCAAATATATGTCTACATGGAGGTCATAGTAGGTTAGGTCATGAATGAAGGTTAAGGTCATCTTATAGGTCAGTCTGTAGGCCTAGGCAGTGATGATTTTTTTCACAACTGTCAACATTGAGAGGTCATTCTTTACCATATTTTAGAATTTCTAGGTCAAATTAAAGTCAAGTCAAGTTATATTAAATATGTCAAGGTCATTCAAAAGGTCAATATATATTTATATATACATTATACTACTCTCATCTCAGCAACTTTGGTATTAATAAATTGTCTTTAAAAGCTTTCTCGCATTTGACCTCACCATATATAGAGCAATTAAATGAATTGTTGATTGTATTGAAAGGCTTGACTACAACCCTTTGAAGTCATAATCTGAAACCTGTCATGGACATCTACTATAAATTGTAGTGATGGCTAAAGGATGACCAATACTTTCATTAAACATCAGATTCAATCTTCTATGTTACTTGTAAATATATTGTGAGAATGACTGTAGTTAATTATAGCAAAGTATATGCATGCTATGAATCAGAGTATTGGTTGATGATTTTAAGATTTTTTAAGAGAATTTTTGTGTGTCGTTGACCATTCTTGTATACTTTATCCTTTGTTACTTTTACCATGCTATTGCTAGGGCCCGATTGTAGAATTGCCAAGGCTTATTCAAGGCCATAAAGTTGCCCTGTCAGAGATATTAAAATGGAATTTTTTTATTTTATGTCTGCCTCAATGAAATAGTTTTATTATGTCACCACCAATAAGTGGTCACATATTGTTATGGTCTCCGTTTTTTTATGTCACCACCAATAAGTGGTCACATATTGTTATGGTCTCCGTTTTTTTGCGACGGCGGTTGGTGGTTGGAGGTTGGCGTCCGGCGTCTGTAACAATTTCTTACAACTTCCTATAACTTAACAAATACTGTTTAGACTGACTTCAATTTTTTTCTAAATCATCTACATGTTCTCAGAAGTTCAAATCTGACTTTAGATTTGACATTTGACCTTCAATGACCTTCTCAAGGTCAAAAAGGTCTTTTTTCAACTTGCTTCACATTGACTAAATTTTTTTTCAAAATCATCTACATGTTCTTAGAAATTCAAATCTGACTTTAGATTTGACTTTAGATTTGACATTTGACCTTCAAATCTGACATTAGATTTGACATTTGACCTTCAATGACCTTCTCAAGGTCAAAAAAGGTCAAAAAGGTCAAAATCATCTACGTGTTCTCAGAAATTCAAATCTGACTTAAGATTTGACATTTGACCTTCAATGACCTTCTCAAGGTCAAAAAAGATCAAAAAGGTCTGTTTTCAACTTGCTTCAAATTGACTAAAAAAAATTTTGAAAATCATCTACGTGTTCTCAGAAATTCAAATCTGACTTTAGATTTGACTTAAGATTTGACATTTGACCTTCAATGACCTTCTCAAAGTCAAAAAAAGGTCTTTTTTCAACTTGCTTCAAATTGACTTTTTTTTCAAAATCATCTACATGTTCTCAGAAATTCAAATCTGACTTTAGATTTGACATTTGACCTTTAATGACCTTCTCAATGTCAAAAAAGGTCAAAAAGGTATTTTTTCATCTTGCTTCAAATTGACTAAATTTTTTTTTCAAAATCATATACATGTTCTCAGAAATTCAAATATGACTTTAGATTTGACATTTGACCTTCAATGACCTTCTCAAGGTCAAAAAAGGTCTTTTTTCAAGTTCAAGTTTGAAATTCAAATCAAATATTGTGAGCAACTAGGTGGTGACATTTTGTCATGTTAATGCCTTGTTTATAAAATTGGCCTGGCCAAGGCTATCTTTGGACAATCTCGTAGTTTAATCCCGGCCCTCAGTATGTCTCCCGACTTTAATTGTTATTGATCAGAGAACTTCTTGTTTTAGAAGAAAACCTTGAAAGAAAATGAATCTTGGATTAACACAATATGTAAAGTATTTCAAATACAGAAATCAATTAAAATACCGACGTTCAATATGGTGTATATTCAAATTATAATTTTGCTCAAAGAATTTGATTTGTATTTCCATATTTAGAACCAAATGAAATCTTGAATTATAGAGCCAATAGCTGTAATGTTCATCCTAATTAACACTAAAACATTTCTAATTTGTAATATATTATAACTTTTCTGAAAAAATAAACGTTGAAAAGAATTCCTTTTAAGTAAGAAGTGCTACAGTTACTTTTTCGATTTTAAAATGCTATTCGTGCACAATGTGGAGATCATATACCATATGTATTATTAACCTAAAGTAGGTTGCATAATATATTCCATTTTTGCCATTTTTATAAAGGTGTGTTATGTTTAATTATCTGTTAAAATTTGTTTTGATTAAAATATCACAGCATGAAGATACAATAAAGAAATAAAAAAGTCATTAAAAATTAACCTATTAAAACAGATAAAAGTTTGCTCATTAAAACATTTAACCACTAAGAATACATGCACTGCACGTAATTAGTGATTTTCTCTTCAACTTTAGTGTTTGGATGATAATCATAGGTCTAGTTATTGAACAAGCGCCACTGGATTTTCCCTAAGGGTATCAAATGACAGAGTTTGTTTCTCATATCGCCATAAACCATATGAGACAATTGACATACTATTGTCTTACTGGATTATTCTCGGATTATAAGGATTTAGATTTCAAGAGATACCAGTAGATAAAAGGTTTTAAGTCAGGGAAGAGATAAAGTGGAATCGGATGCATGTAAGTTTTTTATCTGTTTTGATTTGATTATATGGTTGTCCTTTATTTTTATTTTCATTTTTATTTCAATAATTAAGTGTCACATGATGTCATTTTTGTATTTTGATTTTTGAAATTTATAACCCATGATTTGAATTTTAAAAAATAAAGAGAGAAAAGGAGCATATTTTTTAGAAATGTCCATATTGAGTCTTTTTTGTTCATATCATGAGCTGTTGTTTTTGAAAAATCTTTTAGTTGCCAATGTTTTATTTCAGCAAAGAAAAAACTTGATATTTAAATAATATGTATGCAAATACATTTTCTCTGAAAGTATTGGCCATAATCTTTGTTTCATTTTTGCAAGTGTAAAATCTGTGTAAGTGGAACACATTTGGTAGATCTAAAAGGTGTTCCACTTGGGAGGTGTTCTACTTGTAGAGAGTCATTTAACACCAACTCACTTGGTCTTGGGAGCGTGAAAATTGTTCCACTAACAGAGGTGTTCCCCCTTTACAGGTTTCACTATATGTAAGTTAGGTATAAAAATATCAATTGTAGATATGTTTACTACTTGCATATTCTTGTTAATTTTCCTATTCTCCATATTTTGTTTTTGGGTACTGCAGTACATTCCAATCTGTCAACAATTCATTTGATTACAGCATTTCTGATTGGCCCCCATAGAATTCAGCATTAATAGCTATTGTATAACACAGCTCGTTCGAATCAATCTGTCTGTAAAACAAGATTATCCTCAATAATTGCCAGAAGGCAATGAAAATATTACAGCACAAGTGTGAAAAGAGACATATATCTAATTGTTTCAGTAATTGATCTCTCTCTAGCTATAGTTTATTTATATGATTGTTAATAGAGAACAATGAGGTGGTGTCCCAATAAATTGGACAATTTTATTATCTCGGGGACTGTCTTGATAAGGCATATGACAATCTGGTATAGGTTCTAACTGAAGACCTAATTACAGGCTTATAATAACAGTTCATTGGAGCTGTAATCTTGCAGACGGCTTTTGAGTATTTATTTCTTAATTTCTCTATTTTTTCATTAAAAATTGGAATAAAACATCTAATTTTTTACTCATATGCGAAACTGGAATCACAAACTCAATACCTGAGAAAACTTGGGAATCATACATGAGTAATTTCTGAGAAATTTATGATTTTGACCAAGGTTCGCTGTCAAGTGATATTGGTGATCTATAACTAAGATTTAGAAGGAAATACACAACTGCTTCTGGCTATATAAGAGATATGACAAGGAAGAATTGATGGACATAGCATACTCCGCAGCGAAGATGAATCACAAGTTGTGTCAATAAAAGAAACATTGATTCAATTCAACGAAAGGAAATCAGGAGATTGTCGGAAATATTTCAGAACTTTTATCTTGCTTTATTGTTCAACATTAATGGATATCATTCACTGATCAAGGGATAAACCAACAGAAATATTGATCACGGAGTTGAATTTGGTATTATTTGTTAGTTCTATTTGAATTATTAATGATGTGGATCTTATAAAAAGTCGATGATTTTAAAATGATACTTTTCAACAATGATCAGAGATTGTGTTTTCTTTGTAAAGAATAACATCACATTTGCGATTGTTTTAGAATAAATTGTAAATCAAATGAAAGCGTTAATGGGAAGAATATCAATGTTATTTAGAATCAAATGAAGCTCTAAAAATGTTTGTAGTAATTTGACTACAAAGTATTTACTCTCAGTCAGTTATTTTATGAAGCCCTATAAAACATATATGAATAATCACAAACAATTTCTCGTTTATATCCAGATGTGAGAAAACAGAAAACAAGATGGGGAATTCCATGTGTGCAGTTCAAAATGCTAAAGTAGCGCACCTGAAACAGAGTCTTAGTGGCGGGACATTAAAATATGGCTGGAAATCACCGACCCAGGAGTATGGGATCAAAGAGCTGGAAAATCAGTGGACCGTAACTGTGTGCTCTCAGTCAACTGAGGTAAGTTGTACATTTAGTCTTACGTTATGTCGTGGTCATATTTGCTCAGACCAAAACTGGCACCCGGCAGATGAGTAATTTGTTGATTGTAATTTTGAACAAAATGCTCATCCGCCAGAACACGGTAGCAAATGTGACCACGACATAACATCTGCTAAAAGGAATACATCTGAATTCAATGTTGTGAATTTTTATGTCAGACGTATATCGTGTAGGTTTGAGACAACTTTATCTCCCCCTGCACTGTCTCCCAAATAAAAAGAACAACATCAACCATTGAGATTCCCGTTGGATCCCTCAGGAGCAGGTTTTATGATAGCATTGAATCCTTAAATTGTGTGAATTAAAGAGTGTATCTAAACCTGCATGGGGATTAAATAGATTCTTTCACAGTCAATGAGATTAGGTAGTGGTTTTTGTGGCGACAATTTAAGGATATTGAAGCGTCTTTAATCCTTTAAATGCTAGAAATGGACCGTTTAATCAATTACGAGTATTTAATTTCATTAAAGTTGTTATTGAGAATTGGATCTTTTGTATTTTTACAATTATTTTCTATTATATGCTGGAGGGGAGAATTGTTAAGACTTGAATAATAATTTAAAAGCTGATTAAAATATTAAGCATTGAATTTATACATGCAAAAATGCACAGACATTTAACTGAAGATATGATTTCCTGAATTAAAATCTAGTCATTGATTCCAGAACGGTTAAAAGGAAAAACCAGAAATCGATGAGTTGTTATACATTGGTCTGAAAACCCTTAGGTCATTGGTATGAAGTAGGTCTTGTATTGTATGAAAATATATCAAAAATATGCAATTGGTCAAGTTGAGTGTCGTCTTGTTAACCTCTTGACCAGCGAACACGATCCAGAGACAATAGCAATTAGTATTTAATTCCATTAGGTTTAGCCGTCTGCTTAAATCTCAATTTTGCCATGCCAATTTCTTGCAATTTCTCTCTAATATTTGAATAAAATATTTCATTTTCTTGCATTTCTATACAATTTGAAGTTTCAACTTCATTCTTATATGTTTTATTTCTTGGTACTTTCTATTTCACTTAATTTTGCAATTTAAAACAGAACCTTTCTAACATTTTACTCCAAAGTAGGTTCTGTCATATAGAATATAAACCCAGGAAGTCAAGTGTCACACAGCGTCACAGAGATAATTTGCATATGTTGGTGATAAACTCATCAACTGGGGCCTGGCACATGAATTGACATATTACAGATGTCATGAAATCCTACTGGGCGTCATCAAAATCTGAAAAATTAAGAAATTTTGTAATCACTGATCCTTGACTATCTGCATGTCCAGATGTTTTATTAGTATAATCCTGGTCTTAAATTATTGTTTGTAAAAATTCAGGATTGAGAGATTACTTTTGAACACTGTGAGTCTATCATCTAATACATGTACTTCTTTTTTATTAAGATTTATGCTAAAATTGAAAATTATAATATTATCGTTTTTTCTTTATTTATTTTTGAATAATTGCAAAATACTAAATTCATTGTGCCAGCTTTTGCCCTTTCACATGTTGTGAACATAGGCCACCATACTCGCATACCAGTTTGATGTTTTATGAAAACTTCATACTTTTATAATACAAGGTGCATTGTGACTGTTGCATAATAAATAAAATATAAAATATATGTAACATGTAATTGATTATAAAACATTAAACTCCTTCTTAAAGAGAGAATAAGATCTAGTGAGCAGGCCAACAAAAAATTGTTTCAGTTTTAGAATATTTTATTTTCTAAAAATCCCAAAGTTCACACTTTATTTCAGGAAAACTAGAGACTTTTACAATAATGTATTATTTTTCTATAAGAATGGTTACCACTCTTATTATTTGGGAGAATTTAAACATTTTTCACCTATTTTTGCACTTTAAATCCATAATAACTTCACTTATTTATAACATATCATGAATCTTTTGGGAGATATTGTATCTGAGATTGTAAGGAATAGATTGGTAGGTCAATTGTACATGTTGCTTGTAATTTTGTCGCCCCCATAGATCTGATTCTGCCTTTAACTTAGAGAGAGTCAGGGCTATACGGCGACCACAATGATGCAAACCATTAAAATGACTCAATGAAATAATATATCCACAAATATTACATTAACTGAAAATAAAGTATTATTATCTCTGTAAATGATAACCTAATGCGAAAAGAAAAACACTGCAATTGCCCCCTTTCTGAGAAAATAACATCTTATCTGAGAAATATTTAGAAACAAGCCACATAAACAATACACAATTCAAAGTTACACCCTGGGGAGATTGTCTCCAATGATAATTAATACATTAGTGGTCCAGAGGCAGAAAATTGCTTTATTATTACATTATTGTACCGTCTGTAGGGACTGGTCAAAACCACAGAGACTCAATTACATCTATTTGCTCGCACAAATCTCACTAAAGATAGTGATTTCATTGTTTTTAATGATGTTTTCTTTATCGAATGTGGTTGCATTTCAGCTGGAATATTATGTTTTCGTTGTGATTCATTAGGTTAATTTGACATTTTTTGTATTATCTGAAACTAAAATATATTCACGGCCATGTTGTAACATGTTATTCTTGATCATAGACTTCTAAAGGTAATGTGTTTCCTCAGGCTTTGACGATGAATGAAATGATGAATGACAAAAACATCTTTCTTTCTGCATTGATCATTATACTTTCGGATATTGTGATATGGGTAACAGTTGGTATCTTGTTTATTTAACATTTACATAACTTTTTTTAAGTTATAGATCTTGATTCGCGGGTGTACGTACATCAAAGCTGTTTCAAGTTTTAAAGAACCTAAGAAAAAAAGTATAGGAATAACTATTATATTTTAAAACACATCTTCAAAGTATATTTATCTACTGTATATGTTAAAAATTGTTCAAACAGAATGTCAAAGTCATACCATAAAAACAATTATTCGCATTAGAATGGTCTGGTTACTAATCATATCATTTTAGATTTTCAATATTCAAATGAATTCTTCAATTACTCAGATGCGAGTTGGTAGTTACCAGTATTGCCACCAGGTGGTTGATTCGGGAGAAATAACATGGCAGGGTATTACAAAATGCCCTTAAACTTGAATATTCATCAGTTTTAGTGGTTCACTTTTCATATTATCCTAATGTATCTGATAGTTATACAAATCAAAATATGTCCAGTAAAAGAAAATATTATCTGCCCAACACAAGATGTTTCCATTTTTGTGATTTTACAACATGGGGGTTATGGGGAATCTCCCCGACCTAGAAGTCACAATTTCAAAGAAAATTAAATTTTCAAAGTTGATAAAACCTTATTTCTAGATGTAATTTTACATGTAGATTCCAAATATAGTTTGACTTAATTTTGAATTTTTAATGATGTAAATCAAGATTATTTCTACTCACATCTAGGCTATTAGACCTGATTAAATGTTTTGAAAAATTATAATTATGAAAGATTATAATTATAAAATAAAATGATAACTTGACATTTCACCTTTTTAAAATTTTATCCTAGTGAAGATATGCCTCAGTTTTTAAGAGACGTCATTATTCCTTTAAATATGAAACATCAGGCACAGTTTGCATTATTATTATTCATAGCTCTAATGATTCATAGAAACACAAATATGACAAGCAGAATTACTAAATGATTTTGTCATTTCATGTCATCTACCAAAAATAATTTACCAATTAGCTGTTCTGCACAGCCTTGTTTTTTTAACTGCATGGATGCTATTCCCCCGTCTATGTTACCCTCCCCTACCCTGATTTTTTCTCTCTATATCTTGTTTGTACTCAGAGGCTAAAACTTATGAAAATCATACTCTTTAAAATGGTAAAAGGTTGTTGAGAGATTCCACAGATTTTACGATTGTTATATTTTTTGAAAAAGATCATAGTTTTCTAAATGATAACTAATTACTAAAATTGTGAATTCATGCGATATTAAAAAATTGCGATGAATCCTAAATGGTTTATATGAGTCAGTGGTTATCGGAAATTGATGTACATCCTCGGACAATGCTAATAAGCACTAATAGTGTAATGTCATTTAAGCAACGCTGGACATGACAAGCCCCATTAGAACTAATATTATCATGACAAGGAACATCCAGGTATAAAATGAGTATAATAATTTTTATGTTTTCACCAAGTAAGTATTGGCAGTTCTGGATTGGTGTCTGTAACAAATTGTTACAACTTTTTGCGACTTACCAGTACCCATAGCCAAGGGGGTTATGCAGGGTTTAAGCGAACCCCCTGGCCTACATTCTGGTATGCCAGAGCCCCTCTTATCTGCCGTTTGCGAGAGACTTTGGAAGGATAAAGACAAAGGGGGCGCGGCTATCGCGACGCCTGGCCTATAATTTTTTCAAAATCATGCAGTTTTTCACCATTCAGAGTACTTTTGGCCATTTTTGGGCCAAAATTGTCAAAAGTGAACCCCCTGGAAATTTCTAAAAAGTGAACCCTCTTGGCAAAAGCTGCTTACAGGTTGTGATGTTTTGTTAATGTCTTGTTTGATCATTAATTTCTGGTCAAAATTTCTTTTCATCTGAACATAATACTCAATCAAGACTTGAGAACAATTTTATTTAATTAGAAATTAGAGATAATACCTTTTATTAGTGCTGATTAATATCTCGTTAAGATTATAATGGTCAAATTAACATTTTAGCTTGAGGTTCGTTATTGTTTTTCAAACTTCTCAAGTGGCAGATTGCCTCTTTAAAGTTTAATTAAAGGAAGTAGCGGAGATAGAAAGTGCAAAATGTAAGAGGAAATCTTTTTAAATAGCATGCATGGCATTGTTTTTAATTGTTTCTCTGACAATCTTGATTTCATATTCTGAAAAATAATTAAAGATCCATTCAAATTGAAATGGGACAAAAACCAATGGATTATCCTGAAATGAAATAAAGTCAGAACTCGATTTTGTCGAGTTGTATTTTCTCACAATTGTTTCTCTAAATAA